TTTTTTTTTTTAGTTTGCAGTCTGTTTTAAAGATAAATTAAGATTTTTCAAGTCTACAATCACGTCTGTCCCGAATTATTTATTTCATGATTTTCGGTTTTCAAATTTATGAGATTTTTAAATTTATCAATTTTTACAAAATTTAAGTCAGAAATTAAAAAACAAATAAACTAGGTGTGAAAGGTTTCCTATTTTAAAATTACAGTTTAAAACATTTTTTATTTTTGGATTAAAAAAAAATATGCGGAGTTCATGTTGTGAGCAGGTGGCTATGTATATTAAAAAAAAAAAGGAAAAATATTAACCCCGCCCACCCACCCCATCTCAATTGTGATGATTTTTTTATTCTAAGAAACTTAAAACACATTTAAAATGGTAATGCAATCTGTTCTTCGTATCTCTTTTGTTAGATTTCATTTTGCTACCTCTCTTTTTTCTCGCCTTTTTTGTTTCCTCCATTTTTTGTCGCTTTCTTTTTGCCACCTACTTTTTATTGCCTTTTATTTGCTGCCTCTTTCTTGGAGCCTTTTTTTGTCTTATCTTTTTAGAGATGTTGTAAGTTTCTTGTTGTCGAAATAAGTCTTCACATATTAAGAAAAAAAAGGCAAATTGTAGCCCCGCCCACCCACCCTATCGCAAGAGGGCGAAGCTTAACTGCAGAATCATTATTTCTCTACGAAAAATTAATAACACATTTTTTTTTGAGTATCGTGAATTTTTGAGTATCGTGTTATTCAAAGAATACTACTCGTATGTATATTAAGAAAAAAATAAAGCCAAGATTAGGCGACTCATATCCGCCCCGATCTCAATTCTCAATTGTGATGAATTTTTCATTAGTTGTCAGATCGAGAGGCGGGGCTTAATTGCAAGTCTAGAAGAATTTACCATTTTAAACATGTTTTAAGTTTCTTGTTGTGAAAAGGCGACTACGTATATTAAGAAAAACACCAAAATATAAGCCCCGCCCACCCGCCCTGTCTCAATTGTGATGATTTTTTTTATTCGTCGTGAGCCAAAGGAGGGGAATTTAATTGCAAAATACTTAGAGACTTAAAGATTAAGCCCCACCCATATCCGCCCTGATGTAAATAGTAATGCAGTTTTCATTCGTTGACAGACCAAGGGGCGGAGCTTAATTGCAAAATCCATACTTCCTTACAAAAATTTACCATTTTTTCTTAATGTGCATAGTATCCTTTGAACAACACGTTACTCAAAAACATGTCATTAATTTCTTGTAAAGAATTAAGTATTTGCAATTTGCCCGCTTGGTCCACGGCGAATATAATAAAAAATCGTCACAAATGAGAAGGGGTGGGTGGGCGGGGTTTATATTTTGCCTTTTTTTTCTTAATGTACATATTATTGTTTGAACAGCACGATACTCAAAAACATATTTTTAATTTCTTGTAAGGAAATAAGTATTTTGCAGTTAAGCTCCGCTCCCTTGGTTCATGGCGAATAAAAAAAATCATTACAAATGAGATAGGGCGGGCGGGCGGGGCTTATATTTTACCTTCTTTTTAATACACATACATAGCCATCTGTTCACAATATAAAACTTAAAATATGTTTAAAATAGAAAATTTGTATAGGGAAGTATCGATTTTGCAATTATCCATAACTGTAAAATCCACATTTTCTTACAAAAATTTACCATTTTTTTAAGGTGTTTTCAGTTTCTAAGAATAAAAAAAACATCACAATTGAGATGGGGTGGGTGGGCGGGGCTTATATTTTGCCTTTTGCATCTTAATGTATATAGTATTCTTTGAACAACACGATACTCAAAAATATGTTTTTGAATTCTTGGAAGGAAATAAGTATTTTGCAGTTAAGCTCCACCCTCTTGGTTCACGGCGAATAAAAAAAATCTATACAATTGAGATAGGGCGGGTGGGCGGGGCTTATATTTTACCTTCGTTTTAATATACATACTTAGCCATCTGTTCACAACATAAAACTTAAAATATGTTTAAAATGGAAAATTTGTATAGGGAAATATCGATTTTGCAATTATCCATAACTGTAAAATCCATATTTCCTTGCAAAGTGGTCCCACTTTAACCATGTTTTAACTTTCTTGTTCTGAAAAGATAATTAAAGCTTTTCTGCTTTGAAAGTATTGCTTGCAGTCAACTTAAGTGATTGTCTCTCCAGAAAAACATGACCTCACAAAATTAAAAAGTTGTCAAGACATTACCAAAATTTTCAGTTGGAATAGTTTCTTTCGAAAACTATGAAAATTCAAAATGTGAAAAATATGTGAAAAGCATTTCTGTTTAGAAAGTAGTACAGTAGAAGAGAAACTTGATATGTTTTTTTTTTTTTTCAGAAAAACATTATTCCAAAATTGAAAATTATAAAATTTTTGTCTGCCCTGGTCGAGTTTTTAAAATTATAGTTTATTTTAAATTGTGATACTCTGCTTGGTGAGAAGAAATAGTGACTGAAAATTATGAAAATTTTGGATTTTAGAAATAAGGAATTTAGAGCAGATCCATTTAAAACAGAAAAATAATTTTTTCCCGCAAAATTTAAAACGTTAACATACAGGACTACCGAATTTTGTGGGTCATTGGCAAAAATTTTCAATTGGAATAGTTTAAATAAAAAAACGATGAAAATTCAAACAGTGAAAATATGTCAATTTTAAGTTGCAGTATTGCTGTTTATTCAGTTTTTGGCTTTTTTGGAAAATATTTTCTTTTTTTTTAAATTAAGGTTTTCAAATCTAAAATCACGTCTGTCCAGAAATATTTATTTCATTATTTTCAGTTTTCAAATTTATGAGATTGTTAAATTTAACAATTTTTGCAAAATTAAAGTGCAGACGTTCCATTTCACAGATTTGAAAATTTAGGAAATTTGTTTTCACTATTTTTTGAAAAACCAAAAACGCGAAATGGAGTTCCATACTCAAGATTTTGGAAGAGGAAACGCGTTAAATTTGCACAGTTTCAAAATATAATACATACATTGTTTTCTAGTTTCCCAAGTTTTTAAAGTTTTTTTTATATTTTCGATTTTACAATTTCAAAATTTGAAATGTCGTGTGTTTAGCTTTTCTCATTTTGAAGAGGATCTGTGTTACATGGTCACTATAATTGATGACAATTATTGCAGTAGAATCCGCCAAAAAGTTGTCAAGACATTACCAAAATTTTCAGTTGGAATAGTTTCTTTCGAAAACTATGAAAATTCAAAATGTGAAAAATATGTGAAAAGCATTTCTGTTTAGAAAGTATTACAGTAGAAGAGAAACTTGATTTTTTTTTTTTTTTCAGAAAAACATGATTCCAAAATAGAAAATTATAAAATTTTTGTCTGCCCTGGTCGAGTTTTTAAAATTATAGTTTATTTTAAATTGCGATGCTCTGCTTGGTGAGAAGAAATAGTGACTGAAAATTATGAAAATTTTGGATTTTAGAAATAAGGAATTTAGAGCAGATCTATTTAAAATAGTAACTGAATAATTGTTTCCCACAAAATTTACAAAGTCAACAGACACAGGACTACCGAATTTTGTGGGTCGTTGTCAAAAATTCTCAGTTGGAATAGTTTAAATAAAAAAGACGATGAAAATTCAAACAGTGAAAATATGTCAATTTTAAGTTGCAGTATTGCTGTTTATTCAATTTTTGGCTTTTTTGGAAAATATTTTTATTTTTTTTTTTAATTAAAGGTTTCAAATTTAAAATTACGTCTGTCCAGAAATATTTATTCCATTATTTTCAGTTTTCAAATTTATGAGATTGTTAAATTTATCAATTCTTACAAAATTTAAGTGCAGACGTTCCATTTCAACCGATTTGAAAATTTAGCAAATTGATTTCTAGTTTCCCAAGTTTTTAAAGATTTTTTTTATATTTTCGATTTTACAATTTCAAAATTTGAAATGTGTGTTTAGCTTTTCTCATTTTGTAGAGGATCTGTGTTACATGGTCGCTATAATTTATGACAATTATTGCAGTAGAATCCGCCAAATAGTGAACATTGATTTTTGCTTATGACTACTCCGGCTGTTAAAAGAAACAAAGGTTCTATGAATACATTTTAAGTTGTTGTTTAATAGCCAATGACAATCAACCCAAAAGCAGTTTGGCGGTTAAATAAGAAATACAAAATCAATGTTCTCTTTTTTTTCTTTAACTTGACATTTCGCATTTTTTATTTTGTGGTCTACTATTTTGAACCATTTTTGGCCGATTTCTGTAAATTTCCATTAATAACTAGCGGTTCTATTTATAAGTTCGCCAGAACCACAAGAGCAAAAAATTAGATTACGAGTTCTTGAAATGAATTGAGTATTGTCACAGTCGATTTAAATTTATTAAAATAAAGTTGTGGTAAACTTGACATTTCGTATTCCAGCGAATTAGCGCAACCGTAAAACCCCATGTCACTCCACCAAATTCTTGCCTATCGATTAGCCACCGTTTTTTCAGTCCGTAAATCGCGCATTCGAAATTCCTCTGCCGTCCAACTGGTTCATATTTTATTGTAATGCGGTATAATTAATTTGAAAAGACCGCTGCAGGCCTCCTGCAGCATATTAACCTCAAACACCACGCCCAGGTGTCGGAGTTAGATAATCGGCGACGTCTTTCCGAAACAATAAATACTAAACCCGGCGACATTTATAACTCGGAGCAAAAACGCCAGCGCAAAAACTTTGGCCTGACTTTTTAGCCGGCCGATAGATAAAAAAACGAGCTTTTTGCGCCCGACAAAAATCCTCCCAATTTCTTCCCAAGTAAAGTAGTTAATGGCCCCAGCCCGTGCCCCCACTTGCCGCGCTTACCTCACACCGAGTCAATAAACTTGTATGCATGAGATGACGCAGGCGATTTTCCAGATTGCAAATTTGATTAGCACTCAAGACGAGCTGCGCGAGACAGGTAATTCCCGCCAAAATTTGACGTTTCGAGTGGTAGCCACTTTCATGTTTTTCCGAACAACTTTCAACAAGCGCTAAACCCGATTTTCTCTTGCAGAGGAGGAAATCGACGTGGTGTCCGTCGGCGGCGGCGACAAGTTCTGCGCGAGCAAGTCCGCCGCCAACGCGCTTCCCACCAACCCGTCGACCAAGGACCGCCGCCACATCCAGCGCACCATGCAGAGCCGCTTCCCGCAGGGCCTCAAGACCATATTGCCCGTGAAGCGCGCCGCCCCCAACCCCAAGAAGGTGGACAACCGCGGCCGCGGCCGCCAGTACAAGCGCGTCAAGGGCAACCACAGACAGTACAAACGCAGGTACGGCTACAGCAGCGACAGCGAGCCCGAGCCGTCCGAGAAGCGCCACCTTCATAACAACATGGAGCGGCAGCGGCGCATCGATCTGCGCAACCTCTTCAACGACCTGAAGAAGCTGCTGCCCGACGTGAGCAAGAAGCCGCGGGCCGCCAAGGTGGCCATACTGCGCGGGGCCTCCGCCTACTGCAAAGATCTGACCTACACCGACCAGATGCTGAAGAAGCGGATAGAGCTGATGCGACAGCAGCAAATGCGCTTGCGCGCGGAAGTGTCGAAGCTGCGGCGGGACGTCGTCGCCAAGCGCTAACTAGGTTAGGTTTTAGGTTATGTTTTATTCGAATCGGTTATAGTACTGTGATTGACTAGCGAGTTTGTTTTGTTGATTTAGGGGTAGTGTGTTATCATTTTTTTTTTTTTTTTAAGTAGAGACGAGTTTAGTTGCAATAAGGCATGCGTTACGTTTTAATAAATTGTTGTGATGATGACTGTTTGTGATAAAGCTCTTGAGAATTCTTCTTTTTTTCGGTTTCTCTTTTGAACTCTTGCGTTTATTTCATCAAGTCGTCACGAGCAATCACATTTCGCTTCCATCATCATGTTACCATGTACATAAGTTCTGCATCAAGTTAGAGCTCGAGAAGTGTATTTGTCTCGACAGCCGCTCCGAGGAGTAGTGCGACTTTAATGTTTTAAGTCTTATTTTAACACTTTATGTATGTTTGTATCTTTTATTTATGTGCGGCTGGAGGCGGAGCCTACGTTGTTAGTTAATCAAGTGCGCTTGCGCGGCTCCGCCCCCCGCCGCCGGAGCTATTGGATTCTATTTAGGTTGTACATATGTTTAACGACGTTATTAACTTTCCGCTTTTGTTTTTTGTAGTAGCGAGCGAGCTTCCTTTCCGCCGGTTTCGTAACAAAAACCCCCTCCGCAAGTGCCTTTTTTGTTACGGAACGGCGCACTTATTCCGTTCGATCGGGGAGCGAAGCGAGCACGTTTGGTTCACACTGTATATTATGTGATAATAGAGCCTAGGGGTATTTTTTATTTTGTGTGGACTCCGCGTCCACGAGTGTGTATTTTATAGCGTTTTTTATTCTATAATTTGTTACAGTTCTGGTATATTGTTGTATATATATTTTTATCGTCTTCCTGAAGCGTCCGCTGTTAGTCGTAAGATCAAGAGAATTGTTGTGTTCATGATATTTTACAGTATTTTATACTTTTGATAAGCAAAATCGAAACACAAAAAAATAATAAAAACATAAAACACAAAAAAATCGCTTTACTTCGTAGAGTAAAGTTCGTTGAAGAATGTACCTGTGATGCAAACCTCGCTGTTGACCAAATACATAGTTTACGAGTAGTGTCAGAGCACGAGTTTCTCTAATAGCAAATATATAGCAGGGCAATTCTCTAACTTATCGACCCGCTTTTGGTGAAGCATCTAGAATAAAGTAACACCTTATTTTAATTTTGTTGTTATTTGTACTTATACAATAACTACTTGTATGTAATTATGGTTGTAATTAGTTTTTTAATTTTCATCGGTAGTCTTACGATTGCTGTAAACTAGTTCCTTTAAGCTAGGAATACACATTTTGCTTTAGACAACGTTCGTTATTTCATTCACCACTCCCGCACTTTTTTCTTGTTTGCTCTTTCGCTCTTTCATCTTCTTGTGGCGCCTGGAACCGAGATGATCCAACCACTGAAAGTTACCCACGAAGGTGCGCTCGCACGTTTCGCAAAAGTAGGTGTCGTCTTCAGAGTTCGGGTTGGAACTCGTTTGCTGCATGGGAAGCGGCTTGTGTTTACAGTCGCTTCCGTTTATGAAGGATTCCACGATTTCGACGGCCGGTTGGGTGACATTTTCGTCCCACTTATCCAAGTCGGTGACGTCCAGCCCGTAAAGTGGAGGCACCTGTTTTAATAAGCGAAGAGATAAAAAAGTACCGCCCGAGTCTTTTATTGCTTCTATAACGAAGCTTTAGTACGAGGATTAAGTACTGACCTATGGACAGACATTAAAGTTTGCCGAGACAGTTATTACATACATTTCAAATTTTCCTATTTTGAAGGTGCTCAGAACGCAATGATACGCCACTGATCAGAATTTTTTTAAATTCGGAGTTTTGCGATTCGGTGTGTCGAAATTGTTCAAAACCTTTCAAGACTGACGTGAATATTTAAAGAAGAACATTTTGGTACAATTTTTATTTTCGCTGTTTATAATAATTATTAAAAAATACAACATAACCTCACTTTATTTACGCGACAAATCCGCAATAATGCAAATTTGCGTTTTAGTGTGTCGAAATTGTTTAACGCCCTTTTCGCTTTCACGTTTTTATATCATTTTTAATTTAAAACTCAGGACTTTCGGGCGCTTTGGGATTTAAGTTGTTATTTTAGAATTTTTGCAGAATTTCAGCACACTTTTTTTTAATTAACCAATTTTGCGTTTCCGATTTTTACGAAAGATTAGTTTTTAAATTGTCAGTCAGTATAACACGATAAATTGCGGTTATTCTATTTTTCTAGCATTTTTTTAATTCAAATGTACCAACATAACCTCACTTTGCTGGGTGTCTGAACATTTTTAATTTGGCGTTTTTAGCCACTGGAGATTAAATTGATTACTTTAGACCTTTTGCAAAATTTTAACACGTTTTCTAAATGAACCAATTTTGCCTTTTAGTTTCTTTTTTACTTTTATTGTTTATAATGATAAAAAAATGTACATAACCTCACTTCGCTTTCACAGTAGTGAAAACGGTTTTTTTTCGAAAGCAAAATTTTGAAAAACATTGTTTGAAGCCACCAGTTTTTTCAAAATTTTACAAAAAAAAATAATAATTTAATATTCAAAAAGCTTTTGTGGCGGGTGGGTGGGGCTTATTTTTCAACTTTTTTTTTCTTAACATTTACAGTTGTCTTTCAATAACACGATACTTATAACATATATTCCAGAGAAAGAAAGATTTTGTCATTAAGCTCCGCCCCCGCTTCACGACGAATGAAAAAATTATCACACTTGAGATAGGAAACGTAAGCCCCACCCACCCGGCCAATCGCAATTGTGATGATTTTTTTTATTCGTCGTGAACCAAGGGGGCCGAGCTTAATTGCAAATTTCTATTTCTCTACAAACATTTTCCATTTTAAACATATTTTAATTATCTTGTTGTGCAAAAAGACTACGTATATAAAAAAAAAGAAGCAAAATAGAGGCCCCGCCCGCCCGCCCCCATCTTACTTAATTGTGGTGATTTTTTTTATTCGCCGTGACTTCAGGGGCGGAGCTTAACTGCAAAATCTTTATTTTTCTACAAGAAATTACCGTGTCAAACATGTTTTGTTGTTGTTGACATAGTAAATTTTGTCTTTTGTTTAGAACATGTTTAAAATGGTAAAGTTTTGTCGGGAAAAATCGAGTTTACAGTTGAACTTTGCCCCTTGGTCGGACAACCAATGAACAATTAATCACAATTGAGGTTGGGAGGGTGGGTGGGGCTTATTATTTTTATCTTTTTTTTTCTTAACATATATACATAATTTTCTGTTAACAACATGACACTTAAAAACCTGTTCCATATGGTAGTTTCTTGTAGAGAAATACGCATTTTGCAATTAAGCTCCGCCCCTCAGTTCACGACGAATGAAAAAACCCATCACAACTGAGACTAAGGCGGGTGGGCGGGGTTCATATTTTGCCTTTTTTTCTTAATATATGAACGTAGAAGAGAAACTGAGAACAAATCATAAACCCCGCCCACCCACCCTGTCTCAGTTGTGGCGATTTTTCTCTGCTCGTCGTGAGCAACGGGTGCTGAGCTCAACTGCACAATCCTAAAAGCTAAAAATTATGCTCCGCCTATGTCTCGATCTCAATTGTGACGAATTTTTCATTCGTCCTCGGTCCGAAAGGCGGGGCGTAACTGGAAAATTCATATTTCCCGACAAAAATAACCAATTTAAATATCTTTAAGGTTTTTGTTGTGAAAAGAAGACTACGTATATTAAAAAAAGTGGCACAAAGGCACAATGTAAGGTGTCGGAAAATTTTTAACTTGGCTCTTTTAGCCCCTAGGAAAATTTTTGCAAAATTTCAACACTTTTCTAAATGAACTAACTTTGCGTTTCCGAATTGATAATAAATAATTTTTATTTCTTACGAAAAAATAGTTTTTAAATTGTCAGTCAGTATAACACAATAAATTGCGGTTATTTTATTTTTCTAACATTCTTTTTATATCAAATGTGCCAACATAACCTCACTTTGCTGCACAACAAATTCCACAATAGGAAAATGTTTTTTTTCCTAATGCAGATCTTTTTTGAAGTGAAATTTACAAAACCAATGTTTGCAGACATTGGTTTCAAATTTTTTATTTAAAACTCAAAAGGCTTCTGGGTGTCTGAACATTTTTAATTTTGCGTTTTTAGCCACTGAAGTTTAAATTGATCACCTTAGGCCTTTTGCAAAATTTTAACACGTTTTTCTAAATGCACCAATTTTACATTTCAGTTTTTTTAACTTTAATTGTTTATAATGATAAAAAAAATGTACATAACCTCACTTCGCTTTCACAGTAGTGAAAAATTCTTCTTTTGAAGCAAAATCTTGAAAAACATTGTCTAAAGCCACCAGTTTTTTCAAAATTTTACAAAAAAAAGTGAATATAATATTCAAAAACTTCTACTGGGGCGGGTGGGTGGGGCTTATTTTTCAACTTTTTTTTTCTTAACATTTACAGTTGTCTTTCAATAACACGAAACTTATAACATCTATTCCAGAGAAAGAAGGATTTTGCAATTAAGCTCCGCCCCTCAGGTCACGACGAATGAAAGAAGTCATCACAACTGAGACGAGGGCGGGTGGGCGGGGTTTATATTTTGCCTTTTTTTTTCTTGATATATGAACGCAGTTTTCTATTTACGACGAGAAACTGAAAACAAATCTAAACCCCGCCCACCCACCCTGTCTCAATTGTGGCGATTTTTCTCTGCTCGTCGTAATCAAACGGGTGCTGAGCTTAACTGCAAAATCCTAAAAGCTAAAAGTTAAGCTCCGCCTATGTCTCGATCTCAATTGTGACGAATTTTTCATTCGTTCTCAGTCCGAAAGGCGGAGCGTAACTGGAAAATTCATATTTCCCGACAAAAATAACCAATTTAAATATCTTTAAGGTTTTTGTTGTGAAAAGAAGACTACGTATATTAAAAAAAGGCACAATGTAAGGTGTTGGAAAATTTTTAACTTGGCTCTTTTAGCCCCTGGGAAAATTTTTGCAAAATTTCAACACTTTTCTAAATGAACGAATTTTGCGTTTCCGAATTGATAGTAAATAATTTATTTCTTACGAAAAAATAGTTTTTAAATTGTCACTCAGTATAGCACAATAAATTGCGGTTATTCTATTTTTCTAACATTTTTTTTTTAAATCAAATGCACCAACATAACCTCACTTTGCTGCACAACAAATTCCACAATAGGAAAATGTTTTTTTTCCTAATGCAGATCTTTTTTGAAGTGAAATTTACAAAACCAATGTTTGCAGACATTGGTTTCAAATTTTTTATTTAAAACTCAAAAGGCTTCTGGGTGTCTGAACATTTTTAATTTGGCGTTTTTAGCCACTGAAGTTTAAATTGATCACTTTAGGCCTTTTGCAAAATTTTAACACGTTTTTCTAAATGAACCAATTTTACCTTTCAGTTTTTTTTAACTCTTATTGTTTATAATGATAAAAAAATGTACATAACCTCACTTCGAGTTCACAGTAGTGAAAGGTTTTTTTTCGAATGCAAAATTCTTCTTTTGAAGCAAAATTTTGAAAAACATTGAAGCCACCAGTTTTTTCAAAATTTTACAAAAAAAAGTGAATATAATATTCAAAAAGCTTTTACTGGGGCGGGTGGGTGGGGCTTATTTTTCAACTTTTTTTTTTCTTAACATTTACAGTTGTCTTTCAATAACACGAAACTTATAACATCTATTCCAGAGAAAGAAGTCATCACAACTGAGATGAGGGCGGGTGGGCAAGGTTTATATTTTGCCTTTTTTTCTTGATATATGAACGCAGTTTTCTATTTACGACGAGAAACTGAAAACAAATCTAAACCCCGCCCACCCACCCTGTCTCAATTGTGGCGATTTTTCTCTGCTCGTCGTAATCAAACGGGTGCTGAGCTTAACTGCAAAATCCTAAAAGCTAAAAATTAAGCTCCGCCAATGTCTCGATCTCAATTGTGATGAATTGGAACTGGAAAATTCATATTTCCCGACAAAAATGTACCAATTTAAATATCTTTTAAGGTTTTTGTTGTGAAAGCGAAAAAGTTTAATTGAAATGTACCAATATAACGTCACTTTGTTAGTCCAGTGGCATTTTGTGTCGTAGTAGCAACTTTAGCAGTTTTAGTGTGGCACTAATGTCACATACAACAAGATAGGTCAGAACTGCCATCCTAGCGGCATTAAATATTGTCCGTCAAAAAAAGTTACCAAAATTTTCAAATTTTTTATTTATCTTAAATAAAATTATTCTTCCTACCTCCCTATCCCTCCGCCCCAGGAAACGGTTATTCGTCCACTTATTTTGCTTTCTGGCGTACCTCCTCGTCACCATTTTCAACTCTTCTATGCATTTCTCAAGTTCGTTTTTTCCTTTCTCCGACTCTCTGTCCTCGTCGCTCAAAGTAAAGTACGAATGAAACTCCTTAAAGCCTATGGACTGAAAAACACCTTTTGTGTAATCAGGAGCTCTAAAAAAACGACCGGTCACAAAACAACCGTTTTATCCCCCTTAGTTCCTCACTCTGTACTATTTATCCGATTTTTGTTGTACATCTCATGAAAACCCAAAAGTTCTTGCACCAAACCCTCCTGTACCATCTTGTCGACCCTCTGATTTAATCTCCCATCAAGGACATCCTAAAACTGCACATTTAAACCCTGCAGGTGCTCGTCTAGCGCATACTTTGTCACATTGTAAATGAAATATCAACGCATTGTTGTACCTCAGCCCGCCGCCAGACTGTGACGCTCCTTGCGCCTTTTGTTGCTCCTCTAGAATCGCGCTGTGTTGTCGTCCCTTCTGATACAGCACTTCCAAAGATCTGGAAGATTTGTTAACTACTTTTACAACATTTTCACCGCTTTGCTTTCACCTCAGTATTTTCCTTTTGTTGTTCGGATGCAGCCTCCTCGCCATGTTCGGGTCCAACAGTTTCAGCTTTTTGTGGAGTTCCTCGCTCGGCAATTCGTGATCTTTATTAACGATGTCCGGCAATGCCTTTACATGCTCTCCGGGCGCCTCAATTAAAATTTTCCACAAGAGGGATTCTATATAATAATTAGTTCCACCAACGACGATCGCCAATTTACTTCTGTTTAATAGACTGTCTATCTGAATGAAATTTAAGGAAATTCCTGTGAATTCAGAGGGGCGCTTTGTCAAATCGTGACGAAGGAAGTCGTAAAAGAGCCGATGCGCTTTATGGGTTAGCTGCGGTAAAATTGGGCCCGAATTATGCATATTTTGCTAGACTAGTTTGATTATGCGAAATAAATCAGATTAATTAGTTCCGTAAGGATGGGTGCTTCGACTGAGGAGAGCATATGAATATAGATAGATGAATAGCAGACGAGCAGGGCCGGCTTTAGGGACCTATTTTTGTATATACGCATCACGAACTAATAAGAATAAAAATACACACGCACCACGCAGTGCGTGAGGTGCACCTGTCCCTAATTAAATAATAGTACGAAGGACAGGCGGCACAGGTGCTGGAAAAGGGTCCAAACGAGCACTTTGTTTATCGAGGTCAGAATCACCGGAATTAACATATGCGGCCTTGGAAATATGAAGACACCCCATCCACGTGGCAGCGTTGTGAAAAGAATTGATAATATCTAATAATTTATTAATTTAAAGTACCGAAGGTAAACATTTCGTCACGTGCAGGTGTTAAATTTTAGGTTCGTCGGACGACTTTATTCGGCTTTTGTTTGTTAATTGCGGTGTGAGTTTCCTTGTTTCTTGAGTAATAGTCATTTTAAATTTCGAGCGTGACTCACATGATTAGTGGTAATTAAACGTTAAAATTTTAACAGTCGGATTTGGTTCTAATTTTAAATTTTGAATTTGTTGACGTCCGTGTTATCTATTTTCAGTTACAAAAAGTTGCGCAATTTTGTGTTGTAATCAATATTATATTGAAATTGAAATATTGTGCAATGTTTCAACGTAATTTTTTCCAAAATCAAAGGATACAATTTTTAAGGCACTGTTGCGATATTCAACCACTGTAAACGTTTCATGAGGATCTAAAATATCGAGAAGATGATGTGGGGCAAGACTTTGTTCCTCTTTAGTAGCTTTCGCCGTTATAATATCAAGCCCTTTGTAAACCTGCAAGTTCATTAACGTTCTAGCCGGTTTAAAATTACACGTAGTACGAAAGTGTTGAACTTGATTAAAAAAAAAAAAAAAATTGGGACTTTAATATTCACAACTCGGTTATGCAACCAAGAATACTCCTGTATTGTTGGTTGCATACATCCGCATATATACATTATTATTATTTTATTTTATGAATAAATATGTCGTTAGATTTCTAAAAAATTATGAATTTAAGATCGTCGATTAACGCACCACGTTATTCACGTATTTCTAGTCTTATTCATAGATTAATTTGACTTAGCAAAAATCCACATTAATAATACCTGCATCGAATCTGCACTGATGATCTCCCCCTTAAACCTCTGCGCTAATTCAATCGACAATTTAGTCTTCCCTGAACCTGTGGCTCCTAATATAACAACCAGAGGCAGCCTTCGGGCCATTTTAACGATTCTAAACGCTTTCCAAAGAGTTGCGACCACGTGCTTTTTAAACGTTAACTCTAAAAAGAAAAACAACTCTAGAGATACAAACATGTTGTACAAAGCTAGCGACCACGCTGATATCGAACTCGTAACGATAAACACCAAACACGCACCAAAATCGCTAGAATTGCATCATCATCATCAAAATGCGTTTTTTCAACAATTATCCAAAATTTGTGCAGAAAAACTCACCTGCGGCAAGCACGCACCTCACACTATTGCACTCACACCAAAAACTGCAACAATCTCGGCCGCTTTTAGTTAAAAAAATCAAATTCGAGCACCTCGTGGTTCACAGTTCGTGCACATTTTTAAATTTTAACCTTAAACTGTCAGCTGATCGATGTGTCACTTCGTCGCGGGTATAGCGAATGCAAAAGGCGTGCGCAACCGGCTGTCACACTAAATCGAAAAAAATGGTTAATTTATAGTGCGACTATTTTATATGAACCATAATTTATGCGTGCATTACTACTGTAATTAATTCATCTAGTCATTTTTTTCTGTGTAAATATTATCAAGAATTTTTTGTCGCGACGCGTCTCCATACATTTGTGTAAGTATGTACATTTGTGACTAGCGCTTTTGACAGTTGTACAACAATGTAAAATTGTTTTATGTTTGTTGTTATTGTTAGTGAAAATGCCGGACTTTCTAGCCGAAAATAACGTCTGCGGACAAACAATTCTGCAGTTGGTGTCTAGAGGCAACGCGATTATTGCAGAACTGCTTCGACTGAAAGATTACATCCCTCAGACATACAGGTTTGACAGAAATATTTGCAACTTTAAGCCCCCAATTGTAATAATTATAGATTGGCAAATAAAGAGGATGTCCAGAAATATGGTGACATTATTATGGACTTTAGCTACTTCAAAATTGAGGAGGCCCAAAACAACAAGATTGAAAATTCAGAGGTAGGGTCACTGTATTAAACGTCAAAAATTGAGCGCTGATTGGTTAACTAATAATTGGCGGTAAATTCAAATTAAAAACAAAATAAACAACTTTTAGCAATTGCAAGACTTCGATGAGGAATTCCGCGACAACCACATTGAAATGATAAACCGATTTTACCTAACTTTTGAAAGTATACACACGTACATTACCGATTTGAATCACTTTTTGGGGGAGTTAGAGGAAGGGTTTCACATTCACCAGTCTCTAGAGACGATTTTTGCCGACATGGAAGGAAAACAACTACTCGTAATAATATAACCTTCCACGACTCGCTCTACACTTGATCATTTTAGTGTGAAGCTTTGTATTTGTATGGTTTAATGTTGCTAATAATCGACGCTTACATTGACGGCACTATTCGCGAACGACTTCTAGTGTCCTACTACCGGTACACACCACAAAGAAGCGACACCCAGAGCCAAATCGACGACGTTTGCAAGTTGTTACGGGACACCGGTTTTAATACCCCCAGAAAACCTGCGAACTATCCTGAGGATTATTTCCGGTAATGTTGAAACTTGTAACTAATTTAAAAATTTTTGATTTTTGGTGATAATAGGCGAGTGCCTATTAAATCTACGTACGTAGATATAGTCATAGGTCACCTCCGTTCCGACGACATTTACGGTCAGCTCGCCGTGTACCCCCTCCCCAAACACCGAAGTACCGCTTTAGCCCACCAAGCTTCCATGCTATACGTCTGCCTATTTTTTTCCACCAACATTCTCCACTCCCAAACTGCCATCATGCGCGAGATCGTCGATAAATACTTCCCAGACAACTGGGTGATTTCCGTCTACATGGGCTTCATCGTCAACCTATCCGAAACCTGGGAGGCTTTCAAAGCCGCCAAGCTCGCTCTTAACAACACCCTAGAAACCGTCAACATCAAAGGCTACGCCAACAGCTACGGCTCCAGCATCGTCCCTTTACTCAAATCCACCAACCTCAAGCTCAAAGAAGGCAACATCACCAAAGACAACCTCCTCAAAGACGTCAACAACATCATCAACCTCCTCAGAGACTGCAACTTCACGATCCGCTGGTTGATGCTTCACACTAACATCAAACCCAAGTTTGACAAAAACAAAAAACTCAAACAACTGAGAGAGTTAGTGTTGACGGAATCCAAGTTCGATCAAGTGCAGCTGTTCAAGCTGTTACTCAACACGGCTCAGTTGGAGCTCATTACTAGAGACATCTACAAGAACCTCCTCACCGAAAAGGAAAAACAATGGAAAGAGTTGAAGGAGGAGAGTTTCAAGAGTCTGGTGGAACTCTCGGAGGTGTTCAGCGGGACGAAACCTCTCACTCGGATCCAAAAGAACGAGAACTTGCAACAGTGGTTCTTGGAGATTTCTAAACAAGTTGAGAGTTTGGCTCAAGATGATGGGGCGTCGTCGAGGAAGATTGTGCAGCTGATTCAGGCTTTGGAAGAAGTGCAGGAGTTTCACCAGCTTGAAAGCAACATGCAAGTGATACAGTTTTTGTCCGAAACGAGGAAGTGTATGCATCAGATGATCAGGAACATGAACATCAAGGAAGATGTCTTGATTACGTTGCAAATCATCGGCGATTTGAGTTACGCGTGGGAATTGATCGACTCGTTCACCCCGATCATGCAGCTGGGGATCAAACGGGAGCCTACTTTAGTGATCAAACTGAGGGCCATTTTCTTGAAATTGTCGTCCGCTTTGGAAGTGCCGCTTCTGCGAATCAATCAGGCTCACAGTGAAGATTTGATCTCAGTGTCGCAGTACTACAGTAGTGAGTTGGAGATCTACGTGAGGAAGGTTCTTCAGATCATCCCGAAGATGATGTTTGAGAAGATGGCCAGGATTATTGAGATTCAGACGTCGATTTTGAAGGAGTTGCCCACGCGGTTGGATAAAGACAAACTAAAGGATTACGCACAATTGAACGAAAGGTTTGAGTTTGCAGAACTCACTCACTCGATTTCGGTTTTCAGTCAAGGTAACTTGTCTCGGTTGGTAGCTTTGTGGTGGCTATAGGTTTTTGTATAGGGATGAGAATGATGAAGAGTACTCTAGTGGGTGTGATTTGCCTAGATCCGAAGCAACTCCTCGAGGACGGGATTCGGAAAGAATTAGTACAATACATTTCAAAGGCTTTACATTCCGGACTTATTTTTAACCAAAGGGCGAAAGCCGAAGAGCTGGAGCAACGTTTAGTGGCTCTAGGACAAATCATGGACGGCTATAAACGCTCGTTCGAGTATATACAGGTGAGTGAAAGTTGGGTTAAATACTATTACCCGAAATTAACCGACTTCAGGACTACATCAACATCAACGGTCTAAAAATCTGGCAAGAAGAAGTCACCAGAATAATAAACTACAACGTGGAACAAGAATGCAACGGGTTTCTCCGGAACAAAGTCCATACCTGGGAAAGTGCGTTCCAGAGTCGCTACGTCCCTATACCCTTGTACCCATCCACTGATAACATCAGCGAAAACTTCATCGGGCGTCTGGCCAGAGAAATAATTCGCTTAACCGACCCCAGACAGAGCGTCTATCTCGACCAGACGTCCTCTTGGTACGACATCAAGTCCCACAAACCTATCCTTAACAAGGAGACCATCACCCTCGTAGCCTCGGCTATCGAGATTTCGGGCCTGGTGGGTTTGGACCGGCTATTCTCTTTCATGATCATTTCCAACCTCCAGAAGCTCTCCGGGTTCTTGGAAAACAAACACACCAAGACGAACTCCTGGCACAATATTTTGTCGAGCATCCAAAAGGAAATCGGTGCGGCTGATTCAGCTCCCAATCCCTTGAAGTTCTATCAGAACTGCATTAATCGAACTACCAAGATTTGGAACGAATTTCTCGATTGCGTTCTTTTGGTAGGGCAGCTGCAGTTAATGAGGAACTTGATCGCGTTTCATTTGAATAAGTCGTGTAAGTTTAACGCGAAGAATTTGGAGTCGTCGCTGAGGTCCTTGAGCAAGTGAGTTTGTCTTAGTGGGGGTCGTGGTTAGTCAGTTGGTTTTCTAGGGCTTTGTTGCTCGATGTCACTAGTGGGGATTATACTCCCAGTGAAGACCTCATGGCTAACTTATCGCATTATTTTGATTACTCGGGTTTGAATAACCCGTTCAATAAAATCTACATCACGTCTAGGTGTGACGAAGGTTATGCCGTGATTGTTTTCATGTTTGTGGTAGCACACCTAAACAAGATCTTCCTTCTTCGTCAATTAGGTAAGACTTTGGTAAGTGTGGGCACAATTTTGACCCTTCGTCTCAGGAAACATCAACAAGAGAAACTCGGACCAGATCGATGGAACGGCGTTCGCGGTAGCCGTACACACGATTATTAAACAATTCCATAGCAAGTTAAACAACAGTTTTATTAAATTGCTTTCAAACTACATTACACAAATTACAAGGTATAACATCAGGTGAGTCAAATTTTTTCGTGAAAATAGTCTCCACAACGTTACATTTTAGTATTAAGGCTTCAGAGTTACCCGTCGAGGTATCCCTAGCAATGAACTTCCTCGAAACCTACACCAACTACTCCGAATCGTCGAGAAACTTCCTTAAAGAGTGCATCCCTGAGGAAATCTACCACCTGGAACAAACCCTGATCGCCCCAACCGGCTAATTGTAGACCTTTTACAATAAAATCTAAAACTTAATCAGTGATTTGTGTCAACAACGCCGTCCCTTTAAGAATCCAGTAACTCTGCGGCTTGTCCGTGGGCAGCAACACCGCAATCACAAAATTGGTGCTATGCCCTGTGGTGGACAAAACTCCAGCCCGTATAGACGTTTTATACAGCGGTGTGACGTATCGTTTGTCGTGCTGGGGCATGACCGTCTTCGGGAGCATCCAAATAGCGGGCATAAGCGGGTTGATTTCTCCGGGTTTAGCATCAACGAGTTTGTTCATCCTCGTGTCCCATCGCCCAGCGTCCAGGAAAATCCCGTGGATGATCGCACCGTCTTGTGGAGGCGACAGTCCTCTGTAAATACCACTATCCTGAAAGAATTGGTCAGTTTGTTCTTACACCCTGTAGCGTTGTACCTCGCGTTCCAGTTCGTCGTGAGTCTTTTTCACGATTTCTTGCTTAAGCAAAACCTTTTGTATCTCGAAGTCGAATTTGAGCTCGTCGATCGGGAGGTTGTACTTCCTGGCGTGGGTTTGCAAAGTCCCGGTTAGGAAACCTTGAGGGAAGTAGAAGCCCGAGAGCCAGTAGGAAATAGGGGGTCCGTATTTGACCCAAGTCTGCACGAAACAATGAATATCGCGTCTTCAAGGTTACAATTACCCACTTTTATGAAGTCCAAGCGCAGAATCAAGTCGCGAATCCAGCTTCCGAGGCTCTTCAAAGAATTGTAGCCCTTCTTGGACCACATTTTGGGTACCTGGTTGTTGGTGAATGAGACGTAGACCTCCTCCAGCGCTTCTGACATGACCACCAAACCCTTGATGGCTTTCTTGAGGTTGTCCATCGACGAGTGGATCAGCTTGAGGAGAATGTTGTATCTGTCTACTTCTTGCATTAAGACTGTGGTGAGCGACGGAAGCCGTCCTTTGTCGTCTCTCTAAAACGTCGCACGTCATGACTTGTCAACAATCAATACAAGTTACCTTAAACATGTTGACGTTGGCTTCGTCTGTCAAAATTTTTGGCATTATCGACTCGGTTACCACAGTCGCCAAGTCGAACACGATGTCGTCAGTTTGTGCCCCTTCAGCTCCCCCGGATGTCTGCGGCTGGCTCTCCATGATCGTGTTAATTATAGTCTGAGTCTCTTTAATCTGGTACGCCAAATTGGCGTTTTCGTGCATCCCGAAAATCTCCGGCTCTTCCAAAATCGGAAGGCTTTCGATAAAAGTTTGGTAATTCAAGAGCTTACTGAACGTCGGACAATAGTAGATTCCACTCGGTGAATATTTATACTCCGATTTTAGTATCTGGGGGGAGAAAAATATCTGCAAGATTGTTTTCAAACATCGCAAATCCCAGTAGTCGGTGACCCTTCCACCATACGTGATTTCCCCTAAAACAACAACAATATTGACACCGAAACCCACCACTTCTCCCACCTGTCAAATATTCCAAAGCGTCCCACGGGATCGTCCCTTCAGCACAAAACATCTTCAAAGTGTTGAAAGCAAACTCCCGGTCGCTGTCGTTGAACTCATACGTGATGTTCCACCCCAGCGGGCCAAACTTCTTCCGTTCTTGGATGATGGCGTGGAACATGCACAACCCGAACAGCATACTGCGCCATTTTTGCCTCAGTGCTGTCGTTTCATTAGTACCACCCCAACAAAGCTAAATTACTCACGGTGGTCCTCGAAGAAATCGGGCAGCATATCAGTGAACGCCCTCTTGATGTTGGCCCGCACGCCCTTCGGCGGTTCGTTCGTCACCTTGACCGAGTTCTGCAGTACCGACACCGGGAACGACTTCGACGGCATCGAGCTCATGTACAGTCGGAATTCCTTGTGCACCTTGGCGGCTTGCTCCGCGATTTTCTGGATCAGGCGTTCCATGGGGATCATCCAAGACGTGGCTAGATGGCAGTTCTGGAGGAAGACCCAGTCGCCGCGTTCCAGTGCCACTTCGATGATTTTTTCGGCGACGGGTCCCTGTCCTTGCCCGAGGGATATGGATTTGATGCGTTCTTTGTAACCCATGTCTTCGGCGAACCTCTGGAAAGAGCCGAAAGGGTCGCTGCCCGCGCTCAGAATGAAAACCAAAGGTGTAATGTTGGATGTGTCTTGAAACCTGAAAGGGACAGTCACGCCAATACTAATTTTCATAGTAGTACTTAGTAGTACTTACAAAATCTGTAAGGAGACTTGCGGACTTTCGATGAACGTCTTCCCGAGCTTGGTTTTGACGAACTGGGTTATAGCGAACACTAGTTTTTCTTCTTTGAGGGTCTTAATAAGGATTAGTTTGTTGAAGTCATCTAGCTGCGCGTTCCAGTCGACGTGACTCTTCTCGGTCGTGTTCGGTATTAGCGTTATCCCCAATGAGAACTCAGACAATTTAAGGTTCATCGTTTTGGTGATTTCTGTCGGAAGTTCTTTGAATTCTTCCAACGAAACCGACAGAAAATTCACCGCCAGCCACATCGCGTCGGTGATTTGGGGATGTTGAGGTTTCTCCGGTAGATTGATCTTGGCACCTATCGGTCCTCTGAGTAAAAAGTTCCACTGAAATTCCGAAATTTCTCCGCTGTCTTCTAAAATGGCAACGCACACCATGAAACTGTACACGAGCTTGTGTCTCTCGAAGAGACCTCTGGATACATTAGTGTACACGAATAGAGTGATTTCTTTCAGGAGAGTGGCGAGTCTTTGCTTCAGGTCTACACTTTTCTCGCTGGTTTCTATGACCGTGTTGAAGATCTAGACAACGGGGTGAGTAGAAGTCTTGCTACGATTTCTACTCACTTGTTTGAAGTACTTCAAGGAGTACTGATACATGGGGTCGATTTCGGCCAGTTGAGCGATCACGAAGTACAGCACCGAACCCCTGATGGCCACAGTTCGGTACTTCTCCCGCGCTTCGGAAATCTTGTGTTCGGTTGCTTCCGTCTCTAAAAGTCGTGCGGCGATGACAGCCGAAGTTTCCTAAAACACAAGAGTAGTGTCGAGGGGTCTCGTCATCTTCGTACCTTGCTCTCGTTCAGTGTGTTGATTAACACTTCGTCGTCCAGAATATTCCCCTCCGACTGGTACAGCAGCTTCAGGATTTTGTCCTCGATGGCTTGGAGCTGCGTCTTGTCGGCGTTGATCTTCACGATCAGCTCGTTTCTTTGCGTTTCCAAGTCGGGTCGCTCCAGACGCACCACGTCGCTAAAAATCGTGAATACAAGGTGACTCTAAGGGGTGTTACTTACGCCAATAACTGGTCCTCCAGTCCAGACTTGGTCACAGTAAAATTTACAACCGTCACCTGGATGCAAATCTCCGGCAAGTAGTGCGGATTGGCGAGCTTCGTGGTCACGTAGAACCTGAAGTTGGCGTCGTACTCCACGTCCGAGTCCCCTAGCCGTATGAGCAAACGTCCGCTCGACATCCACGTCTGCTTCATAAGGATTGGCCGCAAAGTCGGGTCCAAAGTTTCCTCGACTTCCTCCAGGAGCACCGGCTTGCCGGTGCGGATCCCCGCTTCCAGGATCCTCAAGTAGTTGGAGTCCGTCAGTTTCACGATCTTCAAGTCGTTCGCAGCTTCCATCTGACGTATCCAGCTGTTCGCTTGCTCCTGGGGGTCGATCATCAAAGCCCATCGGCTGGCTCGCGTGACCAGGATGGCGTTCTCCGTGGACACGGTATCACGAGGAAGACCGAACGAGTTCCACATACGAATATCGTAGGGGTCGGCCAAGATCGTAATCAAACTGCAAGAAAATCGTAACCAAAGACACACTCGTGACCCACCAACCTGAAATTCTGCGACGACGGTATCATAAACTCTTTACACTGCTCGACCCACAAGTTGACGAGTTCGTTGCGGTACGAACTGGTAAAGGCCCCGAGGTACGCCACAAAAGCCGCCGACACCAGCACGTCCCCCAGCAAGTTCTTCAAGTCGTTGGCAAAATCTTTGACCGACATCTCCCATCTAGCTTGCTCGTCGCCCAAAGCCACGTTGAGACGTCCGGCCCGATTTAACCTGTTGGAAGTGAGCTCCATGTCGGCCTCCAGAGCGTCCTTCTCAGCTAAAGTCTTGTTAAACTTGGCTTCTAGAGCGGCAATCTGTGCCTCCACTTCCGCCAACTGTCGTTGTTTCTCCCGCAGGAGCCCCATTACCTGGTTCAGCTCTCTCTCCGCCTGTTCCAGTCTCTTCCTCTTAGGTTCCACGATCTTGAACACTTTCGTGTAGGTGTCGATGGCTCGGACCCACATGCACATGCTCTTGCAAGCCTTCGACACCTTGCCGACCTTATCCGGGACGAAATCCGGATGGTCGACGTAAGTTTTGAGTTTTCGCAAGAGTAGATCAGGGATGTGGTTCTTGTCGTACTCCATGAGTTTCTTGACGAAGTTGGTGTCACCCAAGACGACCTTTGCACTTGCCCAGTCAGTCCTGAAACCCCGATTACCCACTTTTACACTCGAGTCGTACAAGCATACTTTGCCCCTAGAAGTAGACAGACGGACTCCATCACGAACTGGACCAGCTTCGGCGGCTTCACGAAAGACTTCACTTCATTGATGTCGTTTTTGTTGAGGGCGTCCAAAGCTTTGGTCGCTGCTTCGAGAGCCGGCAGCGCCGTGTCGAGGTCTTTCTGGGCATCGTCCGCCAGAGCTTGAGTGTCCTCGGCTTTCGCTTTTGCCACTTCTTCGTCGGTCTTCACGATGGCCCTCACTTTATCGGCTTGCTGTTGCTCCTTGCCCAGATGGGCCACCAGGTCATCCACCGCGACGGACTTCTCTGCAAGCACGGGCTCCAAAGCGCTCAAGGTTTCTCTCATTGATTCGATAACGGAGTTGGTTTCGTAGAGTTTCTGGAAAAAGGTTTTGATTTGGCGGAAATTGAGTAAGAGAATTGGGTACTTGTAGTCCGTTCTGGATTCTGTCCCGCTTGTAGTTCACTTCTTTCTTCTTCGATTCTAACATCTGCTTGTACAGTTTCAAGAGCTCCAAGTAACTGCTGGGTGTGGTGTAGTAGTGTCGACGCATCTCGTGGTAGAAACGCTCCGTCATGGCTTCAACACTCTGCGAAAAGTTGCAACAGTAAGACAGACAGACAGACAGACAGACGGACGGGCGGAACAGGGAGACTTACCTCGTGTATAGTGACGCAAATCGCCGACAAGCTCTGGCATATTTCCTCGCTACCTAAATCTTTTAAAGTACTCAGAGAAACGGAAAGAAGGGCTTCGGTTGGCCACTTTTCGAACCAGTCGATGGTACAGCAGTTCACCAACGACGGAAACATCCGACATCTTCGCCTACAAAAAACGACGTCACGACAACCATCTCCATAATATCACAAAGTACCTAAAGGCATCTCCCACAGGACTCATACAAAGCACCAAATGCAGATTATTCCGGACCCTACTTATAAAAAAGTCATAAATTCCATCCCTGTTTCCACTATCTATCCCCAACGCCTTAGCCGAATCTCTGCAAGCGATGATGACCTTTTCGTACTCGTCAGCTTCAAACAAATTCGGAACCTCTCCCGAGTTCAAAATCCCGTTAATATCCTCTAAAAAGTCCTCCTGGACGATTTGGGTGTCGGTAAACAGAAACACGGAATTCGCGTTGTTAGCCCCAGCATTAAAGTACATCTTCCTCAAGTCTTCAAAGAAGGAACCGCGGTCGTAATTCCGGGTCAGCTCTATCTGGAAACATCTACAAGGATGTGTTAACAAGGATGTGTTAACTGCATTCCACTAGCACCTAGACGTACTTGTAGGCATTCACGTGTGAAGATAACCTCGTCAGACTTTGCTTCCCCATACCACCTACCCCCACTAACAGGGCGTTGCCGCGCTCCGACCGAAGAATCCTGGCGATCCGAACGCAGTGCTCAATCGCGTCCATGAAGAAAATCAAATGCATGTCTTTGGATTCCAGGAGGTTGTAATCGTCCAAGTAGTCCTGAAGCACGCTCTTCATCTTCTCCACGTTCTTGATTTCTTCGTAGATGCGGTCTTCCTTGTTGGCCCCGAACTGCATGAAGTCCCCGAAGAACAACAGCGGCGGCTTGGTGATGATGGGGGTGTCGGGGAGTGCCAAGACCGCCGTGCCGAAATTCCTCCCACAGATCTCCCTCATCAAGAAGTAAAAGTAGGATTTGTCTTCTACGTTGATTAACCTGTCGTGGAACACCCGCAGACACTCGTGGTAGAAAAGTCTCAACATGGCCGCCTCCTCGCGCATGGTGCCGGAATCGGCTTGGAGGACCCCCTGGACGCACTTGGAGAGGTCGCGGAGGTTGAACACGTAGTGGCTCTTGGCGGGGGTTGGGAGTAGATCGGTTGCTATGCGCATGTAGATCTCCACGGCGGCGGAGACCATGTAGTCGGCCAAGTCACGGATTTCGTTGGAGAAGTCGAAGAAGAAGCCCCTCAGGATCGCCTGGAACGCGATAGTCTAGATTTGTACATTCTGTTTGTGACACTACCTTGAATATGGCCTTCAAGGAAAATTCGTTCGGTGGAGGGATCAGCATCATGCCGAAGAAACGCACGAAGCGCGGGGTGAGCGGATTTCGTCCTCCCCCGGGTGGGGCGCAGGCCGCCGTGATGATCACGTCGCGGATTTCCTTCCAGAAGAGTTTCTCCCGGTCGTAGAGACCCTTATACGTGAGGAACTGTCTTAGAAGCTCGATTGGTGGTTGGGCCCCGTAAGTCTCCAATTTCGGCATGTTCACGTCGTCCACAAAAAGTATTATTTTCTTGCCCATGGGAGCCCCGAGGAGAGTTTTCTTCTTCTTTTCAAGCTTCAGCTCGAGGATCTCCTGTGTCCTAAAACTGCTCGTCTGTGCCGAAAAATTCAACGTCACTGGAACGTAGAGTCCCGTTTCGTACATCCGGTTTAGAACGTCTTTAGCGACGACGGATTTGCCAACACCTACGAACAAATTTCAGTTAACTAAGCGCTTCATTACAAAGTAGAGTACCTGTGTCTCCGACGAAAAGAACGGGATAATTGACTGATACTAGTCTCTCCATGACGAACCCAAAACGCACAGTATCGCTTGTAGGTACTAACATTTCAAAAAAGGGGGTCTCGGTCTTGTACGTGAAAGTCGGTAGGATTTTCGCCCATGGATCCAGGCGCCGTTCCACTTCGTTCATGTAGACTCCGTAAAGGTCAGCACCTGGTGGTAATCTCGCGTCTTGGTGGTCATCGAATTGCTCTCTAGCGTAAGTCTCAAACTTCTCTCGTGACATTTCGGTCAGGTTGCCCCCTAACCCCCACACGTACGCAAAAACGAAGATCTGACACAGATAGCTCTTAACTTTGCTCTTCTCCCCGATATTCTCCAAAGGGTTCGGTATCTTCAGGTAGCTGTCGATGATAGCGCAGATCATGGCCACCTTACTTATATCAACCTAAACACAACACCGTAACGACCCCCAAGCCACTCTTCGTCTTACCTGGTGAATCGAATACTCGCAGTGCTTTCTGATGTAGTTGAACCCTTTGTCTATCGCGTGCTCGAACAAGCTCACCATGAAAGTCTTCATTTCGGGGTTCAGAATCTCTTCCTCGTACCGTTCGGCCCACGATTTGGCAAACGGCAACCACCCGATCTCCCCCGGGTCTATGTAAACCATCCCGCACCTACTCACCGTAGCGGGCGAAGCCTGCGCCAGGTCCATCACCTCGAAGATCATGTGGACGTACGGCGTCAACTTGATGCGTTCGGAATTCGCAAGACACAACATCTTGTTGTCGTCCAAGACAGTGTTGAGATTCTCGATCCAGACGGCATCCACGGGACCGTCGCAGATGATCCATTGATGGTCCTCGTTGGTGTACCCAACCGCCTGACGCATCATGATACCCATCAAGCCATCCCGCCACTCCAGAGTATAAATATTGACTTCTCCGTAGAGCTCACCAGCGGTGACCGCCTTCGGGTTCATGACGTACGTGTGAACTGGAAAATAGTTCGGACCTTCGATCTCATCGTCGTGCATTTTGATCAAGGCTCGCTTTAAAGTCTGAAATAATGGTGTCTGATGATTGGGGTTGACGAATTCGTGGACTTACGTTTAAGACTGTGCTTTTCCCGCCGCCGGTGGGTCCTACCAGCATGACGCCCCACCTCACGATCATGGTTTCGTAGAGCTGGATTACCTTCCGGATCATGCACGTCTCAGGCTGGAGTTTCTTGCGCACCATTGAATGCACAATAGCGTCTTGGAAGAGTCCGTAGTCTTGTTCCGGGAGTTCCACCCCGGGGAACAAGTCGCTCAAGATTCCTTGGAAGAGGACGGCGTCGTCGGCTAAGAATTTCGGCAGGTTGCTGTCGCGTAACGCGCAAATCAGCACCACGTCTTCGTTCCGGTCAGGGGTTGCCCTTTTCAAAGCCCCAGCCATCACGAGGACGCTCTTCACCGCCCTCATACCGAAATCGTAATGGTCCTGCTGGGAAAGCTGTTCGCTGCAGAGTTTATACATTTGGACCATCTTCTGTGACAGACCCTTGGAGGATTCGAAACCTTCCGAGTAGAGAATCACTTCGGCGATGAGAGCTGAAACAACAAAACTGACACTAAGACTTGGTTAAGTACCTTGTATTACCGTAGTCCGGGACCATCATTGCTATGGGTCTAAACAAAGCCTTCAGGTTATCCGGAAGCTCCGTCCTTCCGGCGTAGCCGGGATTCATTGTGATGAAAGTGGCGCACTTTTGTACCAGCTTGATTTCGCGTCCCTCGAACATGAACCTGGTGAGGTGGGCCGCTTTGGCGTTCCGTATGGTGATGATCTGTTGAGCTATCACCGACAAGACCTCGATATCGATGCGATTGAACTCGTCGAAGCAGCTCCAGGCTCCCGACTGGGCGAGACCTGCGAAGAAGCGTCCCATGATCTTGTAATCCAAGCCTTCGGAGCAGTTGAACACGACGCACTGGATGGCCAAGGCTTTGGCCAGGTCTTTGGTGGTTTCGGTTTTTCCGGTGCCGGCAGGTCCAGCGGGAGCACCACCTAATAATTTTCAGTGAATTTCGGGTTTGGTTGACCCTTCAAAGTACCTAAATCCAGCTGGAGGGCTCCCATCAGACACAGGTAGCAACGGTCGGTCAGAGGCGTGATGACCAAAACGCCGGAGGCTCCTAGGTATTCGTAACCGTAGATGTAGTGCGCCGAAGACATGCGCGTGACGCAGTCGTCCAAATGGTCGTCCCAGTAGTACCGCAAGACTTTGAGCCAGTCGAAACTGCCACTGTTATAAGGTTTCAATTATATTCCCTAAAGTTTGAATTTTAGCAGCAAGTCGTCCTTACCTGTTGGTAACTTTATGTACTACCATGTTATGGATGGTGTCTCGGGCGTGCACGTCAATGGTGATCAACGCAATCAGAACTTTCCTGGTCACCGAATCCAGGTCCGTCCGAATCACCGCCGCCAAGTCGTTCAGGTCACTAATACAGTTCTTCTCGAACTTGCTCATGCGATTCACCCCGTCGTGGTGGTCCAGAATCTTGTGCACCCCTCGTGCCCAGTTGATCTGAGAGACCGTCAAGACGATCTGATTCGGGTGCCTCAACATCCACTCCGTCCGCGGACTCTCGTCGTAGTCCGCCAACGATGCCTTCATCAACCTCCGCAACGAGAAGAACATCGACGACTCTACCTTCCCCAACCAGTCCTCCACGTTCCCTCTCGCCTTTAACCCCTTCGTCAACGCCACCTTTTCACCTAAACATAACCATTAACCTCCTTCACTACCCACACCTCCACTCTCACCTTCCGGACTTATCATAGCGTTGATGTTTGTAGTAAGAAGCAAAACCGACTGGCTTTTCGCCATGATGGATTTGCTCTTTCGCGCGGAAATCGACTGAGTCCTCTTTACTTCGGCATCGCCTTCGTCTGGACCGCCCACTGGAGCCATCCCCACTTCGTCTTCCTTGGCGGCGAACTCCAGACGCGCGATAGCGTCGAAACACTTTCGGAGATGGGGCTGGACGGCATGAGGGTTCCTCGTTTGGGCCAAGATCTCCAGGAGTTCGTCGTTGGACAAAAAGTAGAAGCGGGGGAAAGCCACGCGTTTCACTTCTAGATATGACTCGAGGCACTTCATGATCTGCTCCAAGAGGGCGTTGTTCTTCTTGAGGTCGTCGAGTAAGTTCGGGTAGAGGGCGGCTTCCAACGCTAGAGGCATCTTGGCGGTTCTACGCATGATGGTCTTCCAGGATTTGTCGACGACGATGAAGAGTTTAGACTCGTTCGGGAGTTGGCGCTGGATATCGGGAGCCGAGAAGATCACCTCCAGGTAGATCCACTGTTGCTGACAGGAAACCCACTCATCCTACGGGAGAAGCTACTGCAAGTGTGACACAAAGGTTTTTATTACCAAGGTTCGTGTGAAAAGGTCCAGAGTGCGCCCCCATTCTTCCACCCGGGATTTGATGGGCCCCACGTGTCGAGAACTCGCGATGGTCGTAATGGCGATGGTACTATCGTCCAGAACGGTCTGCACTTCTTCCAAGGTCCCGAGAATGTAAACATCTTTGGAGTCCTTGTGAGGCATAACCACAAACTCGAGGATCTTCCAAGACTCTTCCACTTTTTTGAGCATGGCCTCCAATCCAGCTTCGCTACTAGCCTGTCCTGATACCTCCTGCAGCTCATTTCCGAACGTAAACACCTTCAAGTTCTCCAAAAGTTCCAACGTGAGAGTTTCCTCTGGTTTGAACTTGTACGAAAGAATATTCTCGACTTGGATCCAATGGCGTTGACGAAGCGACGGGTTCCTCAAATAAGCCACCACCGGCAGCTGAAACTCACACTAAAACCAACCCCCAAAAGTACCAACATTACCTTCGTCTTCATCAACTCCACGTCGTCTTTGAGCTTCGGAACTATCAAATTCTTCGGCAGTCCCTTCTCCAATAGAGTGATATTCTTAACCGTTTTAGCAACGAAAATGTTCATGTCTTCTACGTTGAGTTCGCTGAAATCGGCGTGGTACCACTCATCCATGGTCTGACTCCACGACGTGACACTCTCCCACAGCAGCATTCGGAGCTTGACGTCGCTCATCACCTCGTCGAGGATGTCGAATCTCGTCACTTCCAACTAAACCCGAATGAGTTTGTTTCCACGGTACTATGAAACGAGTACTCACCCTGAACTGCTTCTGGTAACCTTTGAATTCCGCCGCCCGCTTTTGACACGAAATGAGGCGATCGTAGAGGTCGTTCAAGAACTCGGTCACCTCACCGATGTTGGAGTCGATGTCGTACAACCACGGCTGCATGCACTCGTCTTTGATGGTACCGACTTCCGAGATCAACGTGCTTATGTCTTTGTTCATTTGGTCGTTGAATTTCTTGGTGATCATGACAAGCTCGTCGAGTTTCTTGTCGACGAGGTTCCTCAAAGAGGCCATGGTCACGCTGACACCCAGGTAGTTGTCCATGTCTTCGTCTGGAACCGGGATTTCGAACTCTTCCATGATGTCGTACAGTTCCTTGTTGTAGTCCAACTCGTTCTCCATCTTCTCCAGTACGTTGTTGGCGTCGTCGAGGTACTCCAAGTATTTTACGTAGTCGACGGTGGTCACGGGTTGCAAGTTTAATTGGGTTTCCATCTCTTCCGATTCGTTGTTCAGTCGATCGATTTCTCGCTTCCCGATCCTACAAAAGGGTGTTAGAAAAGTTAACTACAAGGGGACTAGTACCAAGGGAGGATCTTCACCAAGGCGCTTATCAAGCGTTCTGGTTCAGGTTTAGCACACTCTTTCAGGTTTTCCAGTTGCAGGTTTAACATTCCCATAGCTTGGGATGTGATGACGCCGTTAATCACGTCGAGCTCTTTGTGGAACCGTTTACACATAGTCCGGAAGGTGTCAATGTCTTAAAAAAAACGTCTTTGCTTCCTGTGTTGCTTGAAAGGTACCTTACCTTTCTCCTCTCGAATGGAGTCCTCTTCGACCAAGCTATCCTCCGCGAAGAACTGTCTAATAAATTCGAACCTGTCTATATACAATTGTGCCATTTCAAAACTTAGCTCAAAGTGGTCAATCACTATTTCTCGTTCCACAGCCAATTTCTTGTCGTCCTCTATATAAAAAATCAACAACGGGCCGTACCCACAAATCCTGGCCTCCTCTTTCCCGTTGATTATAGGGCTACAAGTCACTCTGTACAAGTAAAAAACTAAAGCACAAACTTACTGCACGAAGATGTTATAAGTCTCGTCTGTTGTAAAAGGCTTGATCGCGTAGCAGTGATCCTGCCACAGATCCATCACCTGTGTGAAGATATCCAAAGTCACTTGAAGAGACGGATCTAAAGAGAGCCGCTCAGTGTCTAGAACCACGTCGACAATAAACAACGGCAGCTAAAATTCGAATTCAACTACGACACCACCAGAAATAAGTCTCTACCTGGGGCGCATTCTCCGGGCGCGGTTCTTCAAGAACCTGCGTCAACTCAGCAGTCTCTATCAATTCTTGAGACGGCAAAAACTTCATATGCTTCTCCAGTATTTTCTTCAGATCGATCATCGATCTTAGAATCAAGTTGTGCATCAAGTCGATCATCAAATAGTCGGCGAGAATGATAAAACTGAAAATGAGTGAGTACGAGTTTGACGAAAGAGACGGTGGTACCTGGTGAGACGCACGCAGAATTTTTTCTTGGCTGCTTGTTCGATGTAGGAGGTTTTTTTGGCTTGGGCTTTGGCACTGTGGCCCCGTTTTCTTTCTATAAACACTTTTAAAGCGAGTCGGTGCATACTAAAAATACTCACCTTTCACAGGTTCCACTAGGAGTTCGTTCGGCACGAAACCCTTAGCCAGGAGGGCGCCCAGACACGCATTTGAAACAATGTCCTTTGAAATTTCCCTAAACTCGAATAGTTGTTCAGAAACGACTTCTAGTTTCTCCATCTACAAAAAAAGTTTGTCTTTCTCATTAAAAGAAAAGGATGCGAATATGACAACCTGGTTTTCGATGAAGTAAAACAACAAAAAGTCCTCGATGTTCGAGCCGTCGATGAACGATACTTCCGACATGTTGTGGCACATCTTCTGGATGTTCAACAGTCCCTCTCTCAGCGCGTCGTTCAAAATGAAGAGGTTATCGTTGAGATGCATCTGCGCGGATTTGAATTTTTTTCTTATTATGGCTTTCCTCCAACAGTGGAAACCTTTCCACAGCCGAAATCGATAAAAAGTACGAAAGTGCATGAGTTTGCAGTAGAGTTCGTATTCCCGGTCCCATATGTCCAAGGGTGTGAATATGGTTTCTGGGCCGATGTGTTGCAGGACTCCTTTGGCGCTCATAGTGAAGAAGTTGCTTTTGTCGACTTTGTTAAAAGGAACGACGCTACAAGGAAATTATAGTCGGTGGCTTGGTGTGGGTTGGTGGTGGTACCTGAGGGCGTACGGGGAGTACAATTCTGAAGATTTTGGAACGGTGTAGGTCATATAAATGAAACTCCCGTCTGCCGCAGCGCGCATTTCGTTTATACACTCTCTTTGGTTCATCACGTCGTAGAGTTTGGAGTGGGGAAACACCGGTTCGGGTGCCACTGAGGCTATGACTGTGCCACTACGGAGTTTTAAACCAAATCTAGAAGCTACTAAGTTTGTGAGAACAAAAAAACACAATTGAAGCTTTATATGAGTGATTATTTTTTCAAACGCTTTGTACATAATTTTTTTCTTTTACCTTCTTCGGAACTAGTTTCTGAGGACTCCTCCTGTGATTCCTCATCTTCGTACACGCTTTCTTTGAAACTCAGTAAGGTCTCCTGGATATCTCTAAACCCAGCCTAGAACAAAATATTTTTGAAGATTACGTGTATTGTGTGTTGCCTATTTTACATCAAAAACCAGCAAACAAAACACTTACGAGTGGTTCTGGGGTCGGTTTCTTGTATTCAATTTTCTCCAGAAGCTTCTTGTGTGGAATGTGGAACGCGACGACGTTGCCATCCCTTCATTAAAAAAAAAATAGATAAAGTTTTGTCGATATTTCCTCTACAATCAACACTGCCCCGGTGGCTTTGTTATAGTAACTATAGTAACAAAACAAACACTCCTGGCTCATTTTCGACACAAACCCCCCTAAATCCCGGCCCAAAGTAAGTCGTCGATAGTGAGTGAAATCGTTCTAAATTTCTACAGTTCTAGTTCTTGGACATACCTATGGAACGAGCTCACCGGCTTGCAGAGGAGCTTGTCTTCAACCAATGCCCGCTCCTCGGCTGTCTGATCAAGCCCCTCACCGACATCATCTTCATCGATGGAAGCCTCCTTCGAGCCTGGCCAGATCCCAAAGGGTTGATCCATCTCTTTGTTCTTAAAATGTATGTCCACTTCACACAAATTAGACGGATTTTAATATTTTCTAAAAATGTTTTTTATTTCCGTGCCAACGGTTTGCAAAGCCTTCTCCAAAAATCTACACGGATTCATACACCACAAGTGGAGGAGTATCTCACTTTGTAAAAATTAAATCATATACCTACTGGAAGTAAAAATTAACCCTGTGTGTTTTAATCTGTTTATCGATAAATCTGCGTTTTAATGATATTAACAAGATTAGGGTCAACTTTATCCAATAAAACCCGACGGTATAAAAGCGGTGGTTGTGGTGGAATGTGAATCTGTGCACTGAAAATGATTTCGCGTAACTCGACCCTTCCTCTCTTCCAAGCCAGGTAAGAAGGTTAAGATTGTCGCCCATAATTCTTGGATTTGTGTCCAGTTCTCGCCCAAACAACCTCGCGTGGAATGTGCCCAAAGAAGAGCTCATCCACATCCCCGAGCACTGGCTCATTTACCCAGAACCCGAAGCCTCGATCCACTTCTTGCTGGGGTTAGTCTACGTCGGGTTCTTCCTCATGGCGACGATCGGCAACGGCTTGGTCATCTGGATTTTTTCCTCGTAATACTTGTTACACTTGTTGACTTGACACTATTTCGACTTTACAGAGCTAAACCTCTTCGCACCGCCTCCAACATGTTCGTGGTCAATTTAGCCTTCTGCGACTTCGCCATGATGATCAAAACCCCCATTTTTATCTACAATTCGTTTTATAGAGGATATGCGCTGGGTCACCTGGGGTGCCAAATTTTTGCCTTCATTGGTTCTCTGTCCGGGATTGGGGCAGGAATGACCAACGCTTGCATAGCCTACGACCGGTACACCACCATCACTAACCCATTTGATGGTAAAATCACCAGAACTAAAGCTTTGGTGATGATTGTGGCCGTGTGGGTGTACACCACTCCATGGGCTGTCCTACCGTTACTGGAAATTTGGGGAAGATTCGTGCCAGGTTTATTTACTTGAGTACAAGTAGTATTAAAGTCACACTAATTGTTTTTTAGAGGGATTTTTAACGTCGTGCTCTTTTGACTACCTCACCAACACCTTCGACAACCACGTGTTCGTCATAGTCATCTTCACGTGCTCCTACGTGATCCCCATGACCTTAATCATCTACTTCTACAGCCAGATCGTGAGTAAAGTGTTCAGTCATGAGAAAGCTCTTCGGGAACAAGCTAAAAAAATGAACGTGGAGTCTTTGCGGAGTAACCAATCGCCGGCTTCTCAGTCGGCTGAGCTAAGGATAGCCAAGGCCGCGATTGCCATTTGTTCGTTGTTCGTGGCTTCTTGGACTCCGTATGCCGTTCTTGCTCTGATCGGGGCTTTCGGTGATCAGGCGTTGTTGACTCCTGGTGTCACGATGGTTCCTGCGTGTGCTTGTAAGTTTGTGGCTTGTTTGGACCCCTACGTCTACGCTATAAGCCACCCCAGATACAGGTGGGTGCTTTTATGGGTTATATGGGTATACTAGCTGACCCCGTGAACTTCGTTTCACCTACAATTTAATTTTGAATCTGCAAAATCGAATGCTTTGAAATCTTGCAGATGTTTTAAACATATGATAAGCATAATAAATTTTTGTTCAAAATATATTTACTTATCCCCTCCAAAAAATTGATGACGTCAGCCCAAAATTTTGCCAAATGAATCCTATCTAAAATGTCCAAAATAGGATGAGACTACACTTGTGATTTATCATTCCATTCATATTTTTTAGTTTTGCTTATAGGGGGTGTCTCAAAAAAATTAATCACTGAGTCAATTTATTTTATTGATTGAATCAAGAATTGCAAAACTGAATTTTGAAATATTGCAGACGTTTTGAAGTTACTGTTTGACATGGTAGGTTTTCAATCAAAATATATCTGTTTATTAAGCCCAAAAACTTGAAGACGTCATCTCAAGATTTTGCCGAATAAATCCTATCTAAAATGTGGAAAAGATCATCAGTATATTTTCGTAATTTATCATTGCATTCATATTTTTTAGATTTGTTTTTACAGTGACTCAAAAAAATATATGGATCAGTCAATTTATTTTAGTGAATAACTCAAGAATTGCAAAAATGAATACTTTGAGATCTTGCAGACGTTTTAAAGTTATTGTAAGCATGGTAAATTGTTAAGAATATTTATTTATTCCCCCCAAAAAATTGATGGAATGGCTCACTCGATTTTCGCAGATAATTTTGGGAATACAATACAGTTATTTCTAGTATTACACTGCACCAATCCAAGGTGGTATACGTGTTGATAGTAAATGTTGATTAAGTCATCACAAAATTGTGTGAAGAAAAGACTCAATTCGAAAATGCTGAATATGTTTCATTATACTTTTGGTGCGAAGGAAGTTCTGTCGAAACAACGTTCGATCAATTTTTTGACAATGGTTGATATAAATAAAACTCAGTAGATGCTCATACTCGAAATACGAAGTATCTACTCGAATATCAAATCAAAATATTTCTAGTTTTTCTAGATGATACTAATACTTCAGTAAGTAACATTTGATGCTCAAGTAGCATGTCGATACAACAAAGATGGACAACAGTGACAGTATTCAACCATCAAGGCAAAAATCGAGTCACCAAAATATAAGTTAGCATGTGGTAGACACCTTGAGATGGGAATCTCTATGGCCAGTGTTAGAAAAAACGCACTGCACAATTTATGCATAAATAAAAGTTAATTACATGAAAAGTTTTCGATATTCCTGCTCCTAATGTGTTTTTCAAACTGAATGCACCTTTTGACGACGTTCCACGTTCATGAAAGTCACCATGTTTAGTTAAAATTCACTCTTACAACGATCCTACTGGTTTTCTAAGCTGCTCTACAGACAGCTCAGTTATTTGCCACGCCGATGCTCATTTCTATATTAAGTGCTCACAAAACGCGTAGATGTTCAGTTTGTGTCCGGGGAGATACAATGTTCCCAAGTAGGTACTCAGTACATAGAGTAGATGCTCAGGTATATAAGAGTAATAATGAAGTAGGTACTTCGTACTTCGAATATGAGTATCTACTCAGCTTTATTCATACCACCCAATGTCTCACTTCATTATTGTTTGATTATGTTGATTATGAGCACAACGCTGATCAACTACCATATCCGAATTACCCATGAAATAAATCATTGCGAATTGACTTCGTGGACCTATGTCAGCTTGTCGTCTTCTCGGCATTTTAATGAACTTCATAAAACGATACAGAATTATTTTCACAGTCAATCAAATCTGTAAATTTTGTCTTGAGAATTTTAAAATATTGAAAACTTCAAATTAAATCCTCGAATAACGGTAAAGTTTGAGGTTTTGTCGAAACCAACAAAGTGAATATAGGTAAATAGAATGGCAGATCAAAATGGATAAGAAACTTTCGCAATGTGTAATTAAATTCACTTTAACCAAGACTTTCCTTAAAATAAAGGACGTTTTTTTTTACGAAAAAACAAAGAACGATTTGAAATGCAATATACTTTTCACAATCGCACGGAAGAATTAGTTTTGTATGACACGTCAGTTAGACGACAGGTCCGTCAGAAACGCCAACTATTGAAATTAATTCGAAGTGGCGATTCCCATACAAAATTTTTAGAATTTTTTTATTTTTTAACTGTTCTTTTAAGTTATCCTTATTTTTTTTATTTATAAACCATTCCCGTAATATGAAAAAATTTTCAAATCGGCCATTTATTTTATAGACGATTAAAAAATGGGAGTTGGTGGTAGAAAGGTAAAAATTTAGGGTTATGTGTATTTTTTGATGCCAAATTTGAAAAAAATAAAAATAAAAAATTTTGTCCAAAAAATAGACAAACATTTTTTACGGTGGGCCACCCTTATCACTTAGGGGTTTAAAAAATAGTTTACAACTTATTGTCAGATCTACCGAATATACATAAAAAAATTTATACAAATCCGTCAACCCATTTCGGAGAAGTTCGGTTACAAACACTGTGACGCGAAAATTTTATATATAATGCATTATTATTTTAGAACAAATTTCGTTACCATAAAAAAGGTTATACTGACTCGACCTTAAAAGATAGACATATGCTGTCGCGGACTTTTCTTTAGAACTTTTAGAGGGGAACAATTTCGTCATACATGATTTTTACGTAACTTTAACTGTTTAAGCAGCGTACGCAACGGAAGCTGTCAAAGGAGGAATAATTTTTCCGTTTTTCCGAATTTTTCATTGCTAGTTCGCTCCTAATGATCGTAGCGTGATGTTATATAGCCTATATGTAGATATGATAGATGGACTATCCAACACAAAAAGATTTTTTGAATTTGAACCAGTACTTTCTGAGATATGCGTGTTCAAATAAACAAAAGCTTCAGCTTTATTATATAAGTATAGATTCAAATGGGTTTTGTAGGGTGGAACTGCAGAAACGTCTACCTTGGCTTGCTATAAAGGAGTCGGAAGGTGATTCTCAGTCTGCAGTCACTCAAAGTAGTGTTACTCAGAGTACGACTCAGCCGGCGAGTACTTAGAAAAGGAGGGGGGTGGTTTAAAACCATTGGTGAGTTGATTTGAGGCTATGTCCATGGATGATGAATGCCCAAAATTTGTGTTAAACTTTACCTATAAGGTTTCAATAAAGTTCCTGACTAATCATTGTTTTTATTTTTCGTATTTTTGTAGATATTACACTTTATTAGAACTATTCGAGTATAAATAAATACACCTAAGGATTAATAAAAAATATATAATACAATAATTTCATTTTTTAATCTCTCAGATCCATAAACTTTGCTACCTATCCTCAACAAAAAATAAATAATCTTAAGACATAGAGATGGCAGTCCGCCTCACCGCCGCACTCAGCAACGCGTTAGTGTCCGGCTGCTTCGTCATAATGTCCACCTTCACCCACTGCCTCGTGTTCGACGACTGTCTAATCGCACTCAGCACCGCCTGCACGTACAACCCATCATCGAAATTGGCCGCTGAACACACCGGCTCCTTCACCCACCCCGCCTTCTCCTTCACCGGCAGGAACGCCTCCCTCAACGCCGCCACCATCTTGCAAATCCCCTTGATGAACGGCTTCGGCAGACTGGAGCTGGGGACGGCGCACTGCAGATCCTCCACGTCCAAGTACAGCACCTCCTCGTTGCCGCGGTTCCTGCGCCCGAACAAATCGCCGCCTCGCACCACCAGGTGCCCGCTCGTGCTGCAAATCATCACCTCCTGCTGGAAACTGCTGCCCACCGTGTGACTGTTGAGCGTGGCCGTCACCAAGACCCCGTTGGCCAGCTCCATCTGGAACGAGCAGAAGTCCGGCGCCGAGATGTGTCGGATCCCGTTGATGCTGCTCGTGGTCTTGGTGAAGGTCCGCACCACTCCGTGCACGCGCACGGCGCGCTGCTTCGTGAGGAAGGTCACCAGGTCCACGACGTGGCTGCCGATGAGGTTGAGCGCGCCGCCGCCCATGATGTCGTCGCACTTCCAGTCGAAGCTGTCGCTGTCGGTGAAGAGCGAGCCGCTTTGGATGCGGATGTCAATTAGAGTGATGGGGGACTCGAGGTAGTTGTCTTTGATGGCTTTCCTCATGTGGGTGAAGGCGGGCAGGAAGCGGAAGGGGTGGTTGATGAGGGAAATGAGCGAGGGGTAGTACTGGCCGGCGCGGACCATTTTAAAAGCGTCGCACTGGTTGAGGCCTGCAGGTTTGTCGCACACTATGTGCTTGCCGATGCCTAGGGCTTTGACGGAGATTTGGGCGTGCAAGTTGGGCGAGCACAAGACGAAAATCAGGTCGACGTCTTTGCGCAAGAGGACGTCGTCGATCTTGTTGGTGAAGAAGGGGATGCTGAGGTCTTTGGCGAGCTCTTGGGCGTCCTGCAGGGTGCGGCTCCACACGGCCTCGATCTTGAAGCCGTTCTCGCGGAGGATGGGCACGAGGACTTTGACCACGGGGCCGGTGCCGAAGAGGCCGATTCCGGGCAACATTGTTGTGACGACCTAAGTACACATAACCTAGAAATTGGTACAGTCTACGAAAGGGTGTTCGGGACGGCGATTTTAACGCTAAATGCAGGTTAACACTAACTGTTTAACTTAAAACCGCTAAAACATGACTAAAATGAGTGAAAACGTATGTGTTTTGACATCTGTCAAAATAATGTCAACAACTTTTTGACATATAGTCCAGTTTTCGAACAAGGTGTTATAACTAATAGGTTTTATGATATAATTAAATATAATTAAATTTAATTCATTTCTCTCTTATAAAACTGGTCTAGGTTCATCCGGTATTGACACTTGGCTTTACTTCTATCAACATTTTTGCGCAAAATTTACAATGTGGTACGAGATTGTTCCCAGTTTTGGAATAATCGTTGTTGCTATGGCAGTTCCACACGCTGTTTCGTATGTAGCGAATAAGTTAGCTGTTGGTAATGTAAGTCCATGGTTTATCTCATAACCTACAAATACATTATTGATTACCTAATTTTAACGCTCGTTTTTGCAGTTTTATCGCAGATCAATATTAGATAAAGAAGAAGCGCTGCAGTATTTGAGGGACACAAGAGTTGGCGGTGATCCATACACGGTCAAGGTACAAGCGTACTTATTTTTGTCACAGAACTTCATGTTTATGTTGCAGGGGTTGAAGAATATACTAGACGAATAAATTTGTAGCAAAAACCGATAATATTAAATAATCATTCAAATGTGAATCGATTTTTAATAATTTAGTGCATACCCTATGACGCGTTGTGTTCTTGCCCCTCATTGGCTAATCATGTCATTTAGCGATTGAGCCGACCTCTTCCACTCGTTTTTTTTTTTTTTCATTGGTACCCCACAAAAGTTGACGTTTCAATGACGTTACGTCACACGTCAGTGCACCTAACCTCAGAATTCCACATCGACGATTTGTGAAAGTCGTGAAAATCGCTCTAAATTGTTGTCATGAAATAATAACATGTCGATGAAGACCGCCTCAATAATACTAACCAGTGATGAAATTTTATGTGACAAGAAATGCGACTGTGTCAGTCAGTACTTGATTCAAGAACTCAACACATTGCAGTACACAGTGTCGAAATTAATAATAATCAATAACACAGAAAGTGCAATCATAAACGAGCTTGACTCGCTTATAAAAAATAGCGACGTGGTGATAGCCGTGAGTGAAAAATGTGGCGCTTTCTACAGATCCATCGGCCAGATGATTTCACAGCAGCTTCACCACAGTGCAGAGTTAGTTAAAATTTTCAAACGAAGGGGAGAATCTTTCGACATAGACGACGTTTTATTGCCAACGCAGGCGAAAGTGATTGATGGGAACGCGTACCCGGTGGTACATTTCCAGAGGGTTTTTGTCCTGAGGGAGAAACACATTCAGCAGAGTTTTAGTAATATTTTAAAAAATCATTTAGTGGAGTATAGGAAGCCGGCGGAGTTTCAAAAGACGATAACCATAAGCCAGAATGGTAACGCAGCTAGTGATTTAAATGAATTGAAAAGAGTTCTGAATAATAATAGAGTGAAGGTTGATTTTACCAAAAATGACCAGTATTTTATATTTAGAGTGTCAAGTTCTGAAATCTCTGATATTGTTGAGTTTGAGGAGAGGGTTAACGAGATATTTGAAGCCTACAGGGTGCGAATGTGTGATGATTCGGACGTTTGGGAACGTGTTTATTCAACCGACGAGAAACACGTTAAAAACGCTATTGAAGTAAGTAGGAGGTAAGATTTGGAGTCTAAAATAAAAGTTAATTAATGTGGTTGAACTTTGATTCCACCTATTAAAAGTTCTAGAAAATATTTCTTCAATGACGACAATGTGCACTGAATTTTAAATGCGTCATAACATATCTATATAAATAATTTTAAATATGTTAAACACTTTGATAAGTAAAATGAGCTTTAAGTGGGTTATCTACAACCTGCTGACTCAAAAATGTGCACGGTCATGTTTATTAATATAAAGTTGAATTAGTTACATAAAAATATAACACTCTTTTCCACTCCAGAACATCGACCGTTGCCTAGAACAATACGGCCTGGACAACATCTTCCTCAGTTTCAACGGGGGCAAAGACTGCACCGTCCTCCTCCACTTGGTCCTAACAGTAATCAAGAAAAAATACCCCAACTATACCAACCCCCTCTACTGTTTGTACGTACAAAGCGACAAACCTTTCCCAGAACAAGACGAATTCATCGCCCAAGCTGAAACCTTCTACAACCTAAAAATAACAACCATTAGATCTGGAATCAAAGACGCTCTTCAACAAACCCTCAAGAAATTTCCCAACTACAAAGCGTGTTTTATGGGTACGCGACGCACAGATCCGTACTCGAGCGACCTAAATATTTTTCAGATGACGGATTCCAACTGGCCGCAGATAATGAGGGTCAGTCCGCTTCTGGATTGGCACTATTCGGACATTTGGGACTACTTGTTGTACTACAAGGTCCCGTACTGCAAGCTGTACGACATGGGGTTTACGTCGTTGGGGAATACGGTGAACACGATGAGGAATCCGTCACTTATTTGTTTCGATAAGGCGGAAGTAAAAGACGTGCATCTTCCGGCGTATAAGCTCCTGAGGGAAAATACGGAGAGGGATGGGAGAAATGCCAGTTGATGCAAGCTGTAGTTGTAGGGGTTCAGGGACTTTTCTACTTATGGGTTCAGGGAGACAAAGCAATACTCTGCTTGCACTTAGCCAATTTTATTTATTTGTATTTGTTGTCACGTCCATTAAATTTTATCGATGTTAGTAATAAAGTTTTGACCGTGTATAATGTGTTGCCTACCTTTCCACTCACTAATTTTTTTTGAGGTTATGTTTCAATCTTGGTAACATAAAAAACTATTTTTTAAAGTTACCGAACAGTTAATAGGGCGAGAAAATGCTCTATTTACCTCAATAATAACAATTAAAAAAAACAAAGTTTGCATCTTTGCAATTTTTTTGTAAAAACATTCAAATTAACCGCTTTTTTTTGACATTTGATCTGTCATTTTTGCGTCACATCGGCATTTCGGACCAAAACACGATTCAAAAACCCATCAAAAATGAAAATAGCCGTGGAAGGATGTGCCCACGGCGAACTCGACACCATTTACAGCACCATCCGGTACCTCGAGGAAAAAGAGGGCTTCAAAATCGACCTCCTTATTTGCTGTGGGGATTTCCAGGCGTCTCGAAACGAAGAAGACTTACGATGTATGGCAGTGCCCCCGAAGTACTGCAAAATCTGCTCTTTCTACAAGTAACAAACCAACAGTTATGTAGCAATTCGGGACACGAACTTTCAGGTACTACACCGGCGAAAAAGCGGCCCCAGTACTGACGATATTCATCGGGGGCAACCACGAAGCGTCCAACCATTTGCAGGAGCTGCCGTACGGTGGTTGGGTGGCCCCTAACATCTACTATCTGGGTTACGCCGGGGTGATAAATATAGCTGGGGTGCGAATTGGAGGGATTTCGGGGATCTACAAGCCGAAAGATTACATGAGGGGGCACTTTGAGTACTCCCCGTACAACGACAACACGAAACGCAGCGTCTACCACATCAGGAACTTGGAGGTGTTCCGATTAAAGCAGATTTCAGAGCCTTTGAATATTTTTTTGTCGCACGATTGGCCTAACGGGATTTGGGAGTACGGAAACAAGACGCAATTGATTAAATTCAAGCCGTACTTTGAGTGAGTGAGTTTGCAAATTTTGTGGTACGTAATTTACGAAGTTATGTTTCCAGAAAGGATATAGAAAATGGTGATTTAGGCAGCAAACCGACGGGAGAATTATTAGACGTTTTGAAACCAGATTATTGGTTTTCGGCTCATCTGCACTGTAAGTTTGCAGCGGTGGTTCCTCATTCCTGTGGCAAGACTACGAGGTTTCTGGCGCTGGATAAGTGCCTACCACAGAGACGGTTCATGCAAATTGTGGATGTACCCCACAATACGAATTTGAAGACTGAGATTAGCTATGATTTAGAGTGGTTGACTATTTTGAGGTTAACTAATCATCTTCTTAGTGTTAAGAACGTTAATAATTACATGCCTGGACCCACTGGCAATGAAAAGTACGTTAAGACTTGTGTTAGCACTGTTTAATTTGTGCTTGCAGATGGTGCTTTAAACCCACAGAAGCTGAGAAGTCGGACACTTTGGAGATATTTGGCGAGAATTTGGTTGTCCCTGACAATTTTGAAAAGACAGCTGAGGGTTATAAAGGTTACAAAATGAAAAACGTGCGACAACCTCAGGCAGTTTGTAACCCACAAACTGTGTTATTTTGTAAAAAATTGTCCATAGATGATCCTCTAACTCTCATTCTTAATCTAGATCTTAGTGTAGATAATGCAGCTGAAGGTGCTACAGACCTTAGTATAGACAGAACATTCGTAGATAGTGAAGTTTCCACAACCACTCCAGTGCAAAAGAAAATGGTGCTTAATCTCCCTAAACCCGTGAACGACGACGACGTCCCCGAGACCGAAGAGTTACAAAATCCAGAAACCCCTGAGTGTGTACAAAGTCCAGTTGAAGAAGCCGCCGACGAACCAAATTCAAGCAAGAAGTTCAAACGAAGAAACGCGTCGATTTATCAAAACGACTAAAACCTAATTTTAAGAATAACACTAAATCTCGTGCATTTTTGTCTATTGTATTAATAATAATTGTAAATAAAAAATAAGTGTCAAGCGATTTTAAAATGGCGCCACTAACTTCGCCCGTCAGTGCTACCACTTCCCCGAATTCACCAATCACCAGATTCGTATTTCTGACAGTTGACATAATGAACGTGAAAACTTAACCCCGTGCATTAAATATTTTTGTTATTGCGGTGAAAATGTTAATTTTTTTAATAATATCGTAGAAATGAATTTATTACGAATATGAAATAGCGGCAACTGCGATGATGGATTCGTTCAAGGCAGTAAGTACCGAATCGCCTCCAGCGTACTGTCTTATATAATTTGCACGCATTTGTCTGTGGATTTACTCAAAAAGCGGCGTTTTTCCTTGCAGCAAAGCATTACTTTTCTGGATCTGACCGGGGTGGACGAGGACGAACGCCAGGAAGTGCTGAATTCTCTGTATGCAGAGAATGCACATGTGCAGCTGCCGTGGAAGCTCCCTGAACACAAAGTCCTGCATAAGAGTGGTAAAAGTAATTGTTTTCTTTATTTTTCTTTATTGTTGATCGCTTTGGCCGGAAAGTAGAAGCGGGGTTATTTCGGTAAATGTGTGATGAGCTCGATGGAAATTTGAATGAGTTGAACATAACCTCATTGGGTTGACCCTAGAGATCACATAACGCAATGAGTCGGCAATATGTGGAGCCAATTTTGTGCATATGAGAATGGGAAGTAAACATGCAATGGGTTTTAATGAATGGGAGGATGGTTGAGTGACTGTGGGGTAAAAATAGGTGTTACAGGTCTAGAATGTGTGGAGTGTGGGTCCCAATCAAAATAAACAGTGTTGTTTTTATCATTTTAATTAATTGTTGGTGCGTTGGGTATGTGACTTTCAAGTGGTCATTAACCTGTTGTATTTATAACTAGGTGGGTTCAGCTGCATATTTATTGTTGTTTTTTGTCAATAGGTAGACACAGACACAGGTTTTCGGTGTAGTAGTTTGGGGTTTGAGGTAGCTGATTTAACCTCGTCTGGTCTACTTTGATAAGCGTTCTAGGGTTTTCATAAACATTAATTTATCTTTGGGTAAACTTGGTCAGTAGATCAGATTTCTAGAATTGTGTTCAACTAACCATCTTCAGTCTATTTTAAATTAATAAATAAGACCCAGATTTCTCACAGTGTATTTAATAAAAATAGTTTTTATGGGTACAAGGAATTGAACCCAACTGCATTTTTAGATTCGCTTTCACTGACGTACTTGCAAAAATAATAGACGCTGAAACTACTTTTTGTTGTGGTTCATTTTTTAATGTTTTAATTGCTCCACTTTGTTTATTTAAGTTCTATTTCATGCTCTCTGCTGTTCACATTATTTATGTTTCACCAATCACCATAAAAATTGTTCTCCATTCTTGTTCTATTATTATTTAGTTCTCTCTCTAAAATTATATGACTGATTTTTTGTGAAATTTTAAATCCATCGTGAAAATGCTGAATCTGTTTATCATCCTCGCCAAAAATGTGATAACGTCATTTCAAAATTTTACTAAATAAATTTAGGTACATAATACTCTAGGTTTTTGGAAAATTGGAAAATTTGTATCATTTTCTTACAATCCACAAAAATTATTGCTCTAAAATTTTGTACACTGTTAGGGTTAAGGTGGACATGGTAAATCCACAATCTGAATTTGTATATTCACTTTTTCCAAAAACTTAAGTTCTCATTTGTCTTTTATTATTTCTTCTTTTTCCTTTCGGACATAAGGCACCTTAAAGGGTTTCTAGGGCAACTGTTTAGGTTTAGGTCTAGCAGAACTGCAAATAAGACAATAATATTGTCAATAATTAACAGTATTAAGAGTAGTTACCAGAATAAAGAGGGGGCGGGTGGGTGGGCGGACCTACTATTTGTTTATAAAAAACTCTAGGAAAAAGTTTAACTAAGCCCTGCCCACCCACCCGTTCTCTCATTTTCTGAAATAAGAAATAAATCATGATAAATCTTAATACAACAAAAAATTAACGAATAGCGCTTTTTACAGCCTAATTTTTATCAGTTCCCACTCTACAGAAGAACATAAAACTAACCCCGCCCACCCACCCGTCTCCAGTTCGGTGATTAATTTTATCCACTCTGAATGAAAGACGGATCTTATACAGAAATAAAATTAGTCGCTAGAATGAGAAGAGGGAGGGTGGGCGGGGCTAGTACTTGCGATGATAAGACTGAACAATATTAAGAGTAGTAACTAGAATGAAGAGGGAGAGTGTGGGCGGAGCTATTGCTTGCTTATAGAAGACTCTGTAAGAAAAAGTTAAACCTTATTTTATCCTGAGCGATCTGTATTTTTGCTATATTTTATCGCATTTTTTGCCTTTTTTTGTCGCCTCATTTTTTATATTTTTTTTTTCGTCCCTCTTTTTTATTTCCTTTTGATTTTGTAGCCTTTTTTTATCGCCTTTATTTATGTCGCTTTTTTGTTTTTGCTACCTTCTTTTATATTTGTTGCCTCTTTCTTGCAGCCTTTTTTTGTTTTTTCTCATTTCGTCGCCTCTTTTTGTGGTATCTTTTTAGTCATGTTTTACGTTTCTTGTTGTCGAAATAAGTCTACACATATTAAGAAAAAAAAGGCAAATTGTAGCCCCGCCCACCCACCCGATCTCAAGTGGGCGGAGCTTAACTGCAAAATCCTTATTTCTCAACGAGAAATTAAAAGCACGTTTTTGGGTATCGTGTTGTTCAAAGAATACTACGTATATTATGAAAAAAATAAAGCCAAAGATTAGGCTCCACCCATACCCTCCCCGATCGCAATTCTCAATTGTGATGAATTTTTCATTCGTTATCAGATCGAGGGGCGGGGCTTAACCAAATTTAACGTGTTTTAAGTTTCTAAGAATAAAAAAAAAATCATCACAATTGACACGGGGCGGGTGGGCGGGGTTTATATTTTCGCTTTTTTCTTAATATACATAGTATTCTTTGAACAGCCCGATATTCAAAAACATGTTTTTAATTCCTTGTAAAGAAATAAGTATTTTGCAGTTAAGCTCCGCCCCCTTGGTTCACGGCGAATAAAAAAAAGTCATCACAATTGAGATAGGGCGGGTGGGCGGGCTTACTTTTTGCCTTTTTGTTTTAATATGATGTAGACTTCTTTTCACAACATGGAACTTAAAACATGTCTAAAATGGAAATGAATGGCTATGTATATTAAGAAAAAAATTGCAAAATATAAGCCCCGCCCACCCGCCCTATCTTAATTGTGATAATTTTTTTATTCGTCGAATTTTTCTACGAGAAATTACCATGTGAAATATATTCTTAAGTAATCATGTTATACAAAAAAAAAAAAAAAAAACAAATTTATTATTTAAAAAACAAAACCAAAAGAGAAGCCCCACCTATCCTCAATCGTGATGAATTTTTCATTCATTGTTAGACCGAGGAGCGGAGCGTAATTGGAAAATTGATATTTCTCCATAAAAACGTACCATTTTAAATGTTTTAAGTTTCCTATTCTGAAAAGACGACTACACATATTAAGAAAAAGGGGCAAAATGTAAGCCCCGCCCACCCGCCCTGTCTCAATTGTGATGATTTTTTTTATTTGTCGTGAGCCAAGGGAGCGGAGCTTAACTGCAAAATCCTTATTTCTCTACGAGAAATTAAAAACATGTTTTTGAATATCGTGTTATTCAAAGAATATTATGCACATTTAGGAAAAAATAAAGCCAAAGATTAGGCCCCACTCATTTCCGCCCCGATCTCAATTCACAATTGTGATGAATTTTTCATTGGTTATCAGATCGCGGGGTGGGGCTTAATTGCAAGATCCATATTTGTCTACAAAACTTTACCATTTTACACAAAAAACACAAAATATAAGCCCCACCCACCCGCCCTATCTCAAGTGTGATGATTTTTTTTTAATTGTCGAGAGCCAAAGGGACGGAATTTAATTGCAAAATAGTTATTATTTCTCTACAAGAAATTACCACATAAGACATGTTTTTGAGTATCGTGTTATTCAAAAAATACTATTATGTATATTAAAAAAAAAATTAAAGCCAAAGATGAAGACCCACCCAGACCTGCCCTGATCTAAATAGTAATGAAGTTTTCATTCGTTGCCAGACCGAGGGGCGGAGCCTACCGTTTTAAACGTGTTTTAGGTTTCTAAGAATAAAAAAATCATTACAATTGAGATGGGGTGGGTGGGCGGGGCTTATATTTTGCCATTGTTCTTTATATACGTAGTATTCTTTGAAGAACATGATACTCAAAAACATGGTTTTAATTTCTCGTATAGAAATAAGGATTTTGCAGTTGAGCTCCGCCCCCTTGGTTCACGGCGAATAAAAAAATCGTCACAATTGAGACAGGGGGGGTGGGCGGACCCATATTATGCCTTTTTGTTTTAATATGCGTTGACTTCTTTTCAAAACATGAAACTTAAAACATGTTTAAAATGGAAGGAAATTGCAAAACCCATATTTACGTGCAAAAATTTACTATTTTAAACATGTTTTAAGTTTCTTGTTGTGAAAATATGGCTATGTATATTAAGAAAAAAAGGTCAAATATAAGCTACGCCCACCCACCCTGTCTCAATTCTGATGATTTTTTTTATTCGTTGTAAGCCGAGGGGTAGAGTTTAGTTGTAAAACTCGGATTTTTCTACGAGAAATTATCATGTGAAATATGTTTTTAAGTAATCGTGTTATACAAGGAAAACCGAAAGAGAAACCCCACCCATCCGTCTCGATCTCAATCGTGATGAAGTTTTGATTCGTTGGCAGACCTAGGGGCCGAGTCTAATTGCAAAATACAAATTTCCTTACAAAAATGTACGAATTTAAACGTGTTTTAAGTTTCTAAGAATAAAAAATTATCACAATTGAGATGGGGTGGGTGGGCGGGGCTTATATTTTGTGTTTTTTCTGTGTTATACACAGTATTTTTTGCACAAGCCGATACTGCATAACATGTTTTTAATTTCTTGTTAAGAAATAAGTATTTTGCAGTTAAACTTCGCCCCCTTGGTTCACGGCGAATAAAAAAAAATCATAACAATTGAGATAGGGTGGGTGGGCGGGCCTACATTTTGCTTTTTTGTTTTAATATGTGTAGACTTCTTTTCACAAAATGATGAAAGTTGGAACACCTGTATATTATTGACTACCATTGAATTTTGCTTCATTGATAGAAAAAATGTTTCAGACGTGAACGCCCCCTACACCCCTACCACCACCAACCACCACCCCGAGCCCCCCAAACTCGTGCCACACCCCGTCTACCTACCGAACCAAATCGAATACAACACCTACATCCCCGCACAGAACCACCACTACAAGAGCCCCCCTCCCGACTACCCGCCCATCACCTACTCCATCCACCAGCCCCAGTATGTGGTCTACCCCACCTTGCCCTCCACCTACCACCAGACCTTCCCCATCGCGCCCGTCGTCACCACCAACATCCCCACAGTCACATTCGCCCCCACGTACGTGAACCACGCCGAGCAGGCACCGGCGGCCGTGGAGGCGGCGCCGCCCGTCGCCCCCCAACACGTGGAGGAGTCGTCGCCGCCGCCGGACGCGGCCAGCGCCAACGGCGTGCCCCACGTTCAGCAGAACGGCGACGAGGAGCAAGTCCAGAAGAACGAGGGGGAGAAGCGGCAGGCCCCAGCGAACAAATCGTGGGCGAGCTTGTTCAGTAGTGCCAAGTCGGGGGGCAGTGGCGGCGAGAACGGGGGCGGCCCCGTGGAGAAGTCAAGTGAGGCTGTGAATAAACAAAACGACGAGATGTGCCCGATTAGGCACCCGAGGAAGGCGCAGTTCATCGACCCGAATTGCTACAGAATGGGAGGTAGGGGGCGTAGTGGATAATTATTATTATTATCGTTAATATTATTAATTTGTTTGTAGAATTTTTACTTAATCATAGTGTGGATGGGAGGACGATTAGTTTGCAGCCCCGAGGGTTGATCAACAGGAGTAATTATTGTTATATCAATTCGATTTTACAAGCGTTATTAGCGTGCCCTCCGGTGTATAATTTATTGACTGGTTTGGCTGAGCAGAACACCTCAGCTGAGAAAGAAAAGGCTACACCGATTATTGATGGAATGTAAGTATCCAGTTTGTGTCGTGGTCAATTTGTCGTTAAATTGGGCTTTTATCGTACACCGATATGTTATATAATTCATTGTCACTGTTAATTTTTGTATGAAGGTGTCAGTAACAAGATCTTATGAACAGAAAGTATTCTAACCTCACTTTTTCGAATTTCCGCTAAACTGAAATTTTAACACGATTAAAGCTTTGAAAAAGAAAACATTAATTCTTCAGAAACATTTATAACGTTGAGAAAGTCCAGATTTTGATTTAAAATGGAAATACCATGAGAAAAACGTGTTAAGTCATCACCTGTCATTTCGGCTTGAACCAGTGGCGTATCATTCATAACAAATATTCTTTTCTGCAGGTGTCGCTTCGTCAAAGAATTCCAACACTTACCAGCCGGTCTGCGAGTGAACCGACGCAATGATAAAAACCAGAAAAAGGATCAAGGCATCACAATTGACTACGACTTGCCATTCGAGCCCTCCTGGATTTACAAAATATTGAACGGGGTACGCAGCGACTCTTTCCTGGTGGAAGGTCGCCAAGAAGACGCAGAGGAGTTTCTAGGATGCTTATTAAACGGACTGAACGATGAAATGCTCGAGGTAACCCAATCACATTTTCATTTAACTTTACTACTGCTTTCCATAACCAACAGTTGATGAAGTTGGTCAAGAGCGACCTCGCTGTCAACAAATTCGACTCTCAAACCACCGAACAAGAATCCGACAAAGAGTGGCAGGTAATGGGACCAAAAAATAAAGGAAGCATCACGCGACAGATGGAGTTCGTCAAAACACCAATTAGCAACATATTTGGAGGATTTCTCAAGTCGAGGATTCATCGAGCCGGAGATCATTCCACTTACAACATACAGCCCTTCTTCACTTTGCAGTTAAACATTGAGGTTGGTTCACACTTAAAGTCGACTCTGTAATCGCAAAGTTAAAAATTGTAGAAAGTTAAGACAGTCCGCGAGGCTCTCGAGGCTTTGGTCACCAAGAACCAGCTAGAGGGGGTTACTTCCGAGAAAACTAACGAGGAGGTGGAGGCATGGCAGCAAGTCACTTTGGAGGAGCTCCCCGTTATCTTGATCCTGCATTTAAAGTGTTTCGATTTTAAGCTGGATGGGTGTACGAAGATAGTGAAAGCTTTGGAGTTTCCTATTGATTTGAAAATAGATTCTAGTGAGTGGGTTTTAATGGGGTGCAAAGTAATTTTATCGGTTTGTTTTTAGAACTTTTATCTTCCAAGCCAAACACGCCAAAAGAAAAACAGTATAAGTTGTTTGCTGTGGTGTACCATGATGGGAAAGAAGCTACTAAAGGACATTACATAACGGATGCTTTTCACGTTGGTTATAGTAGTTGGATAAGGTACGATGACGCGTCTGTTAAAACTATTCAAGAAGACTATGTATTGAAGCCACAGGGAACTAGAGTTCCCTATTTGTTATTTTACCGTCGTAGTGATACCATTAGAAGCAAATAAATATACATTTGGCCTATTAATAATTGTTAATAAGTAAACTTATTTTAATAAATTAACTTTATATATCTCGTGTTTTATTGACTTTCATGCAACACTACTGTAGTAACACTTAACAACACACTGATTTAAGAGTTTTGAAAAAATTGTATCAATTAGGGCATGTGTTTTTTGGGTTGCGTGATTTTCCTAAAATGACGTTTTATTTATACCAAGCCGTCGAACCTCGACATTCGACTTTGGACCAGGATCACATATCGTCGAGGAGGTGACGAAAGCTAGAAACGGCGCCTGATTGTTCGAGTGACAGATGAGGTATTATTATTATTATTATTTGATAAGATATGACTAATTTCGACTATTTTTCAACCATTTTCGAATAGTAGCTAGACATTTTCTTGTAGACGTCGACATCCAGAAATCATTTCGTCTTCGTTCCTTTTAAAAATTTCTATCGTCCTTCCAAAATCGCCAATTCGAATATATCTATTTTTTACAGTTCCAGTAGTAAATAGTGTAAGAAAAATTTACGACTAGCGCTTTTTTTCATTTTTTTCGCATTCTAGATTCTACTAGTTTCCATTTCCATGCAATCGGAGACGGTAATTCGCCCCGCCCACCCACCCTGCCTTTATTTCAGTGATTAATTTTATCCGGTATGGTTGAATGATCTTATACTGAGCAGAAATAAAATTAGTCGTTAGAATGAGAAGAGGGGGTGGCTAGTACTTTCTAAGATAAGACTGATTTTGACAAATGACATACCATCCAAGAAAATAGAGGGTGGGTGGGCGGGGCTAGACTTGATAAAATTAGACTCTTTTTGGCAAATAACATAACTTCCAAACAAAAGAGGGTGGGTGGGCGGGGCTAATATTTCGTAAGATAAGACTGGTTTTGGCACTTTAGGCATGTTCGGCCATTTTTCAACCATTTTTATTAAGCTAAATACTTTCTTGTAGATTTCGACATCAAGAAGTCATTTTCGGCGTTGTTTCTTCGAAAATTTCTACCGTCCATCCAAAATCTCCAATTAAAATATATCAATTTCTACAGTTCCAGTAGCAAATAGTGTAACAAAAAATTAACGATTACAGCTGTTTTTTTACTTTTTTAACATCCTCGATTCTATTAGTTTCCACTACCACTCAGTAGGAGAACATAATTAGCCCCGTCCACACACCCTGTCGTCATTTCACTGATTAATTTTATCCGGTCTGAATGAAATGAATGATCTTATACTGAGCAGAAATAAAATTAGTCGTTTGAATGAAAAAACTGGGGGTGGGCGGGGCTAGTACTTGCTAAGATAAAACTGATTTTGACAAATGACATACTTTCCAAGAAAATACAGGATGGGTGAGGGGAGGTTAATATTTGATAAGATAAAACTGTTTTTAGCAAATGAAATATTTTCCAAGAAAAGAAAAGGTGGGTGGGTGTTTCTAGTATTTGATAAGATATGACTGATTTCGGCCAATTTTTAACCATTTTCGAATATTAGCTAGATTTTTTCTCGTAGATTTAGATATCCAGAAGTCATTTTCGGCTTTGTTTCCTTGAAAATTTCTATCGTCCTTCCAAAATCGCCAATTGAAAGTGTCAAATTTACAGTTTCAGTAGCAAATAGTGTAACAAAAAATTTACGATTAGTGCTTTTTTTTACTTTTTTAACATCCTAGATCCTATTAGTTTCTAGTCCCACTGGACAGTAGAACATAATTAGCCCCGCCCACCCACCCTGCGTTCATTTCAGTGATTAAGTTTAGCCAGTGAATGAATGAATGCTCTTATACTCAACAGAAATAAAATTACGTTAAACTGAGAAGAGGGAGGGTGGGTGGCGCTAGTACTTACTGCGATAAAACTGATTTGACAAATGACATACTTTCAAGAAAATAAAGGGCTGGTGGGGGGGCTAGAATTTGATAAGGTAAAACAGTTTTTGGGAAATGAAATATCTTCCAAGAATACAGAGGGTGGGTGGGCGGGGCTAATATTTCGTAAGATAAGGCTGATTTTGGCACTTTAGGCATGTTAGAATCATTTTTCAACCATTTTTCAAAATAAGCTAGATATTTTCTTGTAGATTTCGACGTCCAGGAGTCATTTTCGGTTTCGTTTCTTCGAAAATTTTTACCCTTCTTCCACAATCGATATTTGAAATATAGCAATTTTTACAGTTCCAGTAGCAAATAGTATAACGAATAAGTTACGATTAGCGTTTTATTTTAAGTTTTTTCACATCCTAGATTCTATTAGCTTCCACTTCCGCTACATAGAAGAACATGATTAGCCCCGCCCACCCACCCTGCGTTCATTTCAGTGATTAATTTTAGCCAGTGAATGAATGAATGATGTTGTACTCAACATAAATAAAATTAGTCGTTAAACTGAGAAGAGGGAGGGTGGGTGGCGCTAGTGCTTACTACGATAAAACTGATTTGGCAAATGAAATATCTTCCATGACAAGAGAGGGTGGGTGGGCGGGGCTAATATTTGATAAGGTATGACTGATTTCGACTATTTTTCAACCATTTTCGGATATTAGCTAGACATTTTCTTGTAGACTTCGACATCCAGAAATCATTTCGTCTTGGTTCCTTTGAAAATTTCTATCGTCCTTCCAAAATCGCCAATTCGAATATATCTATTTTCACAGTTCCAGTAGTAAATAGTGTAAGAAAAATTTACGACTAGCGCTTTTTTTCATTTTTTTTTTCGCTTCCTAGATTCTACTAGTTTCCATTTCTATGCAATAGGAGAACGTAATTAGCCCCGCCCACCCACCCTGCTTTTATTTCAGTGATTAATTTTATCCGGTATGGTTGAATGATCTTATACTGAGCAGAAATAAAATTAGTCGTTAGAATGAGAAGAGGGGGTGGCTAGTACTTTCTAAGATAAGACTGATTTTGGTAAAAGACATACCATCCAAGAAAATAGAGGGTGGGTGGGCGGGGCTAGACTTGATAAAATTAGACTCTTTTTGGCAAATAACATAACTTCCAAACAAAAGAGGGTGGGTGGGCTGGGCTAATATTTCGTAAGATAAGACTGGTTTTGGCACTTTAGGCATGTCCGACCATTTTTCAACCATTTTTATTAAGCTAAACACTTTCTTGTAGATTTCGACATCAAGAAGTCATTTTCGGCGTTGTTTCTTCGAAAATTTCTATAGTCCATCCAAAATCTCCAATTAAAATATATCAATTTTTACAGTTCCAGTAGCAAATAGTGTAACAAAAAATTAACGATTAGAGCTGTTTTTTTACTTTTTTAACATCCTCGATTCTATTAGTTTCCACTCCCACTCAGAAGGAGAACATAATTAGCCCCGCCCACCCACCCTGTCGTCATTTCACTGATTAATTTTATCCGGTCTGAATGAAATGAATGATCTTATACTGAGCAGAAATAAAATTAGTCGTTAGAATGAAAAAACTGGGGGTGGGCGGGGCTAGTACTTGATAAGATAAAACTGATTTTGACAAATGACATACTTTCCAAGAAAATACAGGATGGGTGAGGGGAGGTTAATATTTGATAAGATAAAACTGTTTTTAGCAAATGAACTATTTTCCAAGAAAAGAAAGGGTGGGTGGGTGGGTCTAGTATTTGATAAGATATGACTGATTTCGGCCAATTTTTAACCATTTTCGAATATTAGCTAGATTTTTTCTCGTAGATTTAGATATCCAGAAGTCATTTTCGGCTTTGTTTCCTTGAAAATTTCTATCGTCCTTCCAAAATCGCCAATTGAAAGTATCAAATTTACAGTTTCAGTAGCAAATAGTGTAACAAAAAATTTACGATTAGTGCTTTTTTTTACTTTTTTAACGTCCTAGATCCTATTAGTTTCTAGTCCCACTGGACAGTAGAACATAATTAGCCCCGTCCACCCACCCTGCGTTCATTTCAGTGATTAAGTTTAGCCAGTGAATGAATGAATGCTCTTATACTCAACAGAAATAAAATTACGTTAAACTGAGAAGAGGGAGGGTGGGTGGCGCTAGTACTTACTGCGATAAAACTGATTTGACAAATGACATACTTTCAAGAAAATAAAGGGCTGGTGGGGGGGCTAGAATTTGATAAGGTAAAACAGTTTTTGGGAAATGAAATATCTTCCAAGAATACAGAGGGTGGGTGGGCGGGGCTAATATTTCGTAAGATAAAGCTGATTTTGGCACTTTAGGCATGTTAGAACCATTTTTCAACCATTTTTCAAAATAAGCTAGATATTTTCTTGTAGATTTCGACGTCCAGGAGTCATTTTCGGTTTCGTTTCTTCGAAAATTTTTACCCTTCTTCCACAATCGATATTTGAAATATAGCAATTTTTACAGTTCCAGTAGCAAATAGTATAACGAATAAGTTACGATTAGCGTTTTATTTTAAGTTTTTTCACATCCTAGATTCTATTAGCTTCCACTTCCGCTACATAGAAGAACATGATTAGCCCCGCCCACCCACCCTGCGTTCATTTCAGTGATTAATTTTAGCCAGTGAATGAATGAATGATGTTGTACTCAACATAAATAAAATTAGTCGTTAAACTGAGAAGAGGGAGGGTGGGTGGCGCTAGTGCTTACTACGATAAAACTGATTTGGCAAATGAAATATCTTCCATGACAAGAGAGGGTGGGTGGGCGGGGCTAATATTTGATAAGGTATGACTGATTTCGACTATTTTTCAACCATTTTCGGATATTAGCTAGACATTTTCTTGTAGACTTCGACATCCAGAAATCATTTCGTCTTGGTTCCTTTGAAAATTTCTATCGTCCTTCCAAAATCGCCAATTCGAATATATCTATTTTCACAGTTCCAGTAGTAAATAGTGTAAGAAAAATTTACGACTAGCGCTTTTTTTCATTTTTTTTTTCGCTTCCTAGATTCTACTAGTTTCCATTTCTATGCAATAGGAGAACGTAATTAGCCCCGCCCACCCACCCTGCTTTTATTTCAGTGATTAATTTTATCCGGTATGGTTGAATGATCTTATACTGAGCAGAAATAAAATTAGTCGTTAGAATGAGAAGAGGGGGTGGCTAGTACTTTCTAAGATAAGACTGATTTTGGTAAAAGACATACCATCCAAGAAAATAGAGGGTGGGTGGGCGGGGCTAGACTTGATAAAATTAGACTCTTTTTGGCAAATAACATAACTTCCAAACAAAAGAGGGTGGGTGGGCTGGGCTAATATTTCGTAAGATAAGACTGGTTTTGGCACTTTAGGCATGTCCGACCATTTTTCAACCATTTTTATTAAGCTAAACACTTTCTTGTAGATTTCGACATCAAGAAGTCATTTTCGGCGTTGTTTCTTCGAAAATTTCTATAGTCCATCCAAAATCTCCAATTAAAATATATCAATTTTTACAGTTCCAGTAGCAAATAGTGTAACAAAAAATTAACGATTAGAGCTGTTTTTTTACTTTTTTAACATCCTCGATTCTATTAGTTTCCACTCCCACTCAGAAGGAGAACATAATTAGCCCCGCCCACCCACCCTGTCGTCATTTCACTGATTAATTTTATCCGGTCTGAATGAAATGAATGATCTTATACTGAGCAGAAATAAAATTAGTCGTTAGAATGAAAAAACTGGGGGTGGGCGGGGCTAGTACTTGATAAGATAAAACTGATTTTGACAAATGACATACTTTCCAAGAAAATACAGGATGGGTGAGGGGAGGTTAATATTTGATAAGATAAAACTGTTTTTAGCAAATGAACTATTTTCCAAGAAAAGAAAGGGTGGGTGGGTGGGTCTAGTATTTGATAAGATATGACTGATTTCGGCCAATTTTTAACCATTTTCGAATATTAGCTAGATTTTTTCTCGTAGATTTAGATATCCAGAAGTCATTTTCGGCTTTGTTTCCTTGAAAATTTCTATCGTCCTTCCAAAATCGCCAATTGAAAGTATCAAATTTACAGTTTCAGTAGCAAATAGTGTAACAAAAAATTTACGATTAGTGCTTTTTTTTACTTTTTTAACGTCCTAGATCCTATTAGTTTCTAGTCCCACTGGACAGTAGAACATAATTAGCCCCGTCCACCCACCCTGCGTTCATTTCAGTGATTAAGTTTAGCCAGTGAATGAATGAATGCTCTTATACTCAACAGAAATAAAATTACGTTAAACTGAGAAGAGGGAGGGTGGGTGGCGCTAGTACTTACTGCGATAAAACTGATTTGACAAATGACATACTTTCAAGAAAATAAAGGGCTGGTGGGGGGGCTAGAATTTGATAAGGTAAAACAGTTTTTGGGAAATGAAATATCTTCCAAGAATACAGAGGGTGGGTGGGCGGGGCTAATATTTCGTAAGATAAAGCTGATTTTGGCACTTTAGGCATGTTAGAACCATTTTTCAACCATTTTTCAAAATAAGCTAGATATTTTCTTGTAGATTTCGACGTCCAGGAGTCATTTTCGGTTTCGTTTCTTCGAAAATTTTTACCCTTCTTCCACAATCGATATTTGAAATATAGCAATTTTTACAGTTCCAGTAGCAAATAGTATAACGAATAAGTTACGATTAGCGTTTTATTTTAAGTTTTTTCACATCCTAGATTCTATTAGCTTCCACTTCCGCTACATAGAAGAACATGATTAGCCCCGCCCACCCACCCTGCGTTCATTTCAGTGATTAATTTTAGCCAGTGAATGAATGAATGATGTTGTACTCAACATAAATAAAATTAGTCGTTAAACTGAGAAGAGGGAGGGTGGGTGGCGCTAGTGCTTACTACGATAAAACTGATTTGGCAAATGAAATATCTTCCATGACAAGAGAGGGTGGATGGGCGGGGCTAATATTTGATAAGGTATGACTGATTTCGACTATTTTTCAACCATTTTCGGATATTAGCTAGACATTTTCTTGTAGACTTCGACATCCAGAAATCATTTCGTCTTCGTTCCTTTGAAAATTTCTATCGTCCTTCCAAAATCGCCAATTCGAATATATCTATTTTCACAGTTCCAGTAGTAAATAGTGTAAGAAAAATTTACGACTAGCGCTTTTTTTCATTTTTTTTTTCGCTTCCTAGATTCTACTAGTTTCCATTTCCATGCAATAGGAGAACGTAATTAGCCCCGCCCACCCACCCTGCCTTTATTTCAGTGATTAATTTTATCCGGTATGGTTGAATGATCTTATACTGAGCAGAAATAAAATTAGTCGTTAGAATGAGAAGAGGGGGTGGCTAGTACTTTCTAAGATAAGACTGATTTTGGTAAATGACATACCTTCCAAGAAAATAGAGGGTGGGTGGGCGGGGCTAGGCTTGATAAAATTAGACTCTTTTTGGCAAATAACATAACTTCCAAAAAAAGAGGGTGGGTTGGCGGGGCTAATATTTCGTAAGATAAGACTGGTTTTGGCACTTTAGGCATGTTCGACCATTTTTCAACCATTTTTATTAAGCTAAATACTTTCTTGTAGATTTCGACATCAAGAAGTCATTTTCGGCGTTGTTTCTTCGAAAATTTCTACCGTCCATCCAAAATCTCCAATTAAAATATATCAATTTTTACAGTTCCAGTAGCAAATAGTGTAACAAAAAATTAACGATTACAGCTGTTTTTTTACTTTTTTAACATCCTCGATTCTATTAGTTTCCACTACCACTCAGTAGGAGAACATAATTAGCCCCGCCCACACACCCTGTCGTCATTTCACTGATTAATTTTATCCGGTCTGAATGAAATGAATGATCTTATACTGAGCAGAAATAAAATTAGTCGTTAGAATGAAAAAACTGGGGGTGGGCGGGGCTAGTACTTGCTAAGATAAAACTGATTTTGACAAATGACATACTTTCCAAGAAAATACAGGGTGGGTGGTGGGACTAGAATTTGATAAGGTAAAACAGTTTTTGGGAAATGAAATATCTTCCAAGAAAACAGAGGGTGGGTGGGCGGGGCTAATATTTCGTAAGATAAGGCTGATTTTGGCACTTTAGGCATGTTAGAACCATTTTTCAACCATTTTTCAAATATCATGTGTATAAATTTCTAGATTCTATTATTACTTTCTAGTCCCACACGACAGAAGAACATAATTAGCCCCGCCCACCCACCCTGTCTTCTTTTCAGGGATTAATTTTTTCTGATCTAAATGAAATGAATGATTTTATACTGAATAGAAATAAAATTAGCCGTTAGAATGGGAAGATAGGGCGTGGGTGCGGCTAGTACTTGCTAAAATAAGATTGATTTTGGCAAATGACATACCTTCCAAAAAAATAGAGGGTGGGTGGGCGGGGCTAGTACTTGATAAGATTAGACTGTTTTTGGAAATTAATATACCCTCCAAGAAAATAGAGGGTGGGTGGACGGGGCTAGTATTTCGTAAGATAACGCTGATTTTGGCACTTTAAGCATGTTCTACCATTTTTCAACCATTTTTCAAAATAAGCTAGATATTTTCTTGTAGATTTCGACGTCCAGGAGTCATTTTCGGTTTCATTTTTTCGAAAATTTCTACCGTTCTTCCAAAATCGATATTTGAAATATATCAATTTTTACAGTTCCTGTAGCAAATAGTAAAACAAACAATTTACGATTAGCGTTTTTTTTTAGTTTTTTCACATCCTAGATTCTATGTTTAATGGTCTGTGGTCAAACCCGAATCCGGAGTAATTCTCAGAGACCTCTTCGACTTTCTATGATCCTATTAGGCGAGGCGAAAATCCCCGTTGTCAGCGCTTAATTTTCAGACTTGAAGATCGTGAATTTACCAAGCCCAGCGAATCTCGATATTCGACTTCGGACCAGGATCATATATCATCGAGGAGGTGGCGAAAACTAAAAACGGCGCCTGATTGTTCGAGTGACAGTTGGGGTATTACAGGTTTCTATACCAAATGTCAACCAATCAGGAGTAATTTCAGCGGTTTTGAGACCTCCTCGACTGTCTGTGATCCTATTAGGCGAGCGAAAATTCACGTTGTTTCCCGATTTTGATTGACTTCGAAGATCAGGAATTTAATTTATTACAACGAGGGAATAAAACAAATCAAATTTTATGCTCTATTAGCGATTGTACTTTTAGTTACTGCTATTGTTGTACTAATTTGTTGTGTACTTAGTTGGAACATTTGAAATGGCTATAGTTCGTAAGATATGCTGGCTCTTCAAGAAGTCATCCAAAATGTTGTTTTCAAGCATTTCCCACCAAATCTAATTATTATTCATAAAAAGTTGATCGAGAGAGCTTCCGTCGCTCCAGTGACGTTAATAACAACCCTGCGGGGGCGTAAATTTCAGGGGGTACAAAAATTATGTACGAAATGTAAATTTATTTAGGTAACTTATACATTCAATTGGTGCTCCCGCACCTTTCTGTTTAAAAACACTAAATTCTTGTAAATTACACTCAATAGTGGGGCCTTAGAAGGGAAAACATTTCCAGCATCTGGTAGATCCTCCCCATTGGAAGCATATTGAAAATTATCAACTCCAGTAACAAAAATATTTCTTGTAGGTACTTGGAGCTACAAAACAATTCAAATCATTATTTTTTAATTTCCGCTTGTTAACTTACTCAAACTCTTATCAATTGACTCAGTCTCCAGGACGACAATCTCTCCTAAGCGTAACAAAAGCGTTCCTGTACTTCTTCCATCAGAAAGTCGTCCTCTGAGTAGTTCAGGTCTTGTTTTAATGTGTTGGTTGATCCACTTCAACATCACCTCGCAGTAGTGCAACTGAGAGTCACCAAAACTCAGCTTCAGCCAGCTCCAGGTAGCGGATCTCCTTCTCAGTGTCGAAGGAGTCAGTCAGTCAAGAGACACCTGGGTGCAACAATCTCGTCTCCATCCCCTTCCTCAATGTTTTAGTAAAATGTGGTTTCAAGTCAATTTTTGGTAATACAACCTGAGATCCTCTTGAACACGTCTAATAAGAGTCCGGATCCTGCAATAATAATCAGTAAATGTTTTTTTAAAGGTAATTATGTGTATTACTGGTTGCATAAGTTCACGGCGTTCAATTAAATAACAAACAGTAATATTTGCTCGCATTCAAGTTTAAGTTGGCGACCCTGAATTTTTCAAATTCAGCACATTTGATTGGTCAATTTCATGACACTAAGTTTAAAATGTGGAAAAATCAGCCGCGATTATTGCCAACCTAAATTTGGATGCTGACAAATGACACCACTTTTTACTTGATTCGTAGCATTGAATAAGCGGCCATGTTAGTCATACAAAAGGTTTGTTGACAATCAAGTATGCCAACATAAAGTCTTTAAGGCTTCCAACTTAATTTAAAAAATTACTAGGAATATTACTGAAAAATAGGCAACACATAAATCAGATTGTAATATTTTTCTTGTACTCTACATTTGCGAGTGAAACATGTTTCGGCAATTAATAAGTTTTACGTGAAATCATTTTGTCGATAACTTGCAATGTCGAAGTATCGACTCTCGAATAAAACAAATTAAAATTTGGCATTAATTTAACAAAGAACAGTGATTTCAATTTACAGTATGAGCAGAATTGAAAAATCAATCCGCACTCAAATTTAAGTTGGCAATACTGATTTTTTTAAATTAGGTATCACATTCGATTGGTGAATCTCATGGCGCTAAATTTAAAATGTGGGAAAATCATGGTAAGTAATTAGTTCTTGCCACCCTAAATATGCGTGCGGACAAATATTACTATTTTTTTACTTGATGGTAGCATTGAATAGGCGGCCATGTTAGTGGTGCAAAAGGTCTACTTGACAACAAGGTATACCAACATAAAATTTTAAAAACTGCCAACTTAACTTAAAAAATAACTAGGAATAATACCAAATTAGGCAACCAGTAAATCAAAAATGAATAATATTTCTCTTGCATTTTGTATCGTCATTTTTCGCTCAGTACACAAATCGTACAGTACAATGGTTTTTCATCGCAGCCATATGTTGCGGGTTCTGGAGTTCCTCAAGGATAAGTTCTTTTTCGTCCTTTTTCGTCCTTTTCGTCCTATTTCGTCCTTTTCCGTCCGTAATCCTCTTTTTCGTCCTTTTCCCCCTTAATCGTCCTTTTTCGTCCTTTCCGTCGTTTTTCGTCCATGATCCTCCTTAATTGTTCTTTATCGTCCTTTTAGTCATTTTTCGTACTTTTAGTCCTCTTCGTCTTTTTTCGTCCTTTGCGCCCTTTTCGTCCTTTTTTGTCCTTTTCGTTCTTTTTCGTCCTTATTCGTCCTTAATTGACTTTTTCATTCTTATCGTCCTTTTTCGTCCGTTTTCGTCCTGTTCGTCCTACTTTATAATAAGGAATTCTGTATTATTGATATATTCCAGTTTAATAGTTTAAAATTTAAAAAATTAATCATTCAACATTGTTATGCAAAATTAAATGTTTAGCACTGTTTTCTCACCTTGTTTATACATTATAATGATTTGTTATTTTTTGTCCTTCCTTTTGTTACATTTATATAAGTATATTTTTGTTCGGTTTAGAATGCTAATTATTTTGTTCTTTTTGTATTAATTTTGTTGCTCTGTAATTGGTTTTGTAAAAACTGTTGGGCAATAAACGCTATTATTATTAATCGTCTTTTTTGTCCTTTTCGTTCTTTTTCGTCCTTTTCATCCCTCTCCGTCCTTTTTCGTCCCTTTTGTTCTTTTTGTCCCCTTAATCGTCCTTTTCGTCCTTAATCATCCTTTTTCGTCCTTGAATGACTTTTTCATCCGTTTCGTCATTTTTCGTCCTTAATTGACTTTTTCGTTCTTTTCGTCCTTTTTCGTCCTTTCTTGTCCCATTTCGTCTTTTTTCGTCTTCATTCGTCCTCATTCGTCCTTTTTCGTCTCTTTTTCGTCCTTGTTCGTCCTTTTTCGTCCTGTTTGTCCTTCTTCGTCCTGTTTATCCTTCTTCGCCCTGTTTATCCTTCTTCGTCCTGTTTGTCCTTCTTCGTCCTGTTTGTCCTTCTTCGTCCTTGTTCGTCCTTTTTCGTCCTTTTCATACTTCATCGTTCTTTTCGTCCTTTTTCATCCTTTTCGTCTTTTTTCGTCCTGTTCGTCCAGTTTTGTCCTTGATCGTTTTTTTTAGTCCTTTTCGTCCTTTTCCGTCCTTTTCATACTTTTTCGTTCTTTTCGTCCTTTTTCATCCTTTTTCGTGCTTTTCATACTTTCTCGTTCTTTTCGTCCTTTTTCGTCCTTTTCGTCCTTTTCCGTCCTTTTCGTCCTTTTTCGTTTGTTTCGTCCTTATTATCCTTTTTCGTCCTTTTTCGTCCTTTATTGTCCTTTTCGTCCTTATTATCCATTTTCGTCCTTGTTATCGATTTTCGTCCTTTTTCGTCCTCTTCGTCCTTTTTAGTCCTTTTGCGTCCTTAATCGTCTTTTTTGTCCTTTTCGTCCTTTTTCGTCCTTATTAGTCCTTTTCGTCCTTTTTTTTCCGTTTCGTCCTTTTCGTCCTTTTTCGTTCTTTTCGTCCTTATTCGTTCCTTTCGTCCTTTTTCGTCCTTTGTCCTTTTCGTCCTATTCCTCCTTTTTCCTCTTTTTAGTCCTCTTTCGTCCTTTTCGTCCTTTTTCGTCCTTTATCGTTTTTTTAGTCCTTTTCGTCTTTTTTCGTCCTTTTTCGGCCTCTTCCGCCCTTAATCGTCCTTTTCGTTCTTTTTCGTCCTTGTTATCCTTTTTCGTCCTTTATCGGCCTTTTCGTCCTGTTTCATCCTTGTTATCCTTTTTCGTCCTTTTCGTGCTTTTTCGTCCTTTTTCGTCCTCATTATCCTTTTTCGTCATTTTTCGTCCTTATTATCCTTTTTCGTCTTTTTTCGTCCTTTTTCGTACTGTTTCGTCCTTTTCGTCATTTTCGTGATTTTTTGTCCTTTTTCGTCCTTATTCGTTCCTTTCGTCCTTTTTCGTCCTTCTTTGTCCTTTTCGTCCTATTCCTCCATTTTCCTCTTTTTAGTCCTTTTTCGTCCTTTTCGTCCTTTTTCGTCCTTTATCGTTTTTTTAGTCCTTTTCGTCTTTTTTCGTCCTTTTTCGGCCTCTTCCGCCCTTAATCGTCCTTTTCGTTCTTTTTCGTCCTTGTTATCCTTTTTCGTCCTTTATCGGCCTTTTCGTCCTGTTTCATCCTTGTTATCCTTTTTCGTCCTTTTCGTGCTTTTCCGTCCTTTTTCGTCCTCATTATCCTTTTTCGTCCTTTTTCGTCCTTATTATCCTTTTTCGTCTTTTTTCGTCCTTTTTCGTACTGTTTCGTCCTTTTCGTCATTTTCGTGATTTTTTGTCCTTTTTCGTCCTTATTCGTTCCTTTCGTCCTTTTTCGTCCTTCTTTGTCCTTTTCGTCCTATTCCTCCTTTTTCCTCTTTTTAGTCCTTTTTCGTCCTTTTCGTCCTTTTTCGTCCTTTATCGTTTTTTTAGTCCTCTTCGGCCTCTTCCGCCCTTAATCGTCCTTTTCGTTCTTTTTCGTCCTTGTTATCCTTTTTCGTCCTTTATCGGCCTTTTCGTCCTGTTTCATCCTTGTTATCCTTTTTCGTCCTTTTCGTGCTTATTCGTCCTTTTTCGTCCTCATTATCCTTTTTCGTCCTTTTTCGTCCTTATTATCCTTTTTCGTCTTTTTTCGTCCTTTTTCGTACTGTTTCGTCCTTTTCGTCATTTTCGTGATTTTTTGTCCTTTTTCGTCCTTTCCATCCTTCTCCGTCCTTTTTCGTCCATTTCGTTCTTTTTGTCTCTTTAATCGTCCTTTTCGTCCTTAATCGTCCTTTTTCATCTGTTTCGTCCTTTTTCCTTTTTCGTCCTTTTCGTCCTTATTCGTCCTTTTCGTCCTTGTGGTCTTTCCGTCCTCTTTCGCCCTTAATCGTTCTTTTCGTCCTTTTGCGTTCATTTCGTTCTTTTCGTCCTTATTCGTTTGTTTCGTCCTTATTATCCTTTTTCGTCCTTTTTTGTCCTTTTCGTCCTTTTCGTCCTTTTTCGTCCTCATTATCCTTTTTCATCCTTTTCGTCCTTATTATCCTTTTTCGTCTTTTCTCGTCCTTTTTCGTCTTTTTCGTTCGTTTCGTCCTTTATCGTCCATTTCCGTCTTTTTCGTCCTTTTCAGTTAGACTGTACAAAGATGTGGCTGTGTTTTTTTTTATAATATTTTGATAAAATTCCATTTGACAACAATGTTAGCATGATATAAAGCGAAGGTACAAATTAGCAAAAATGGAGTAAGCAGTTGAAAATGTTTCACGTATCAAAAATTGTCAGAGTTTAAAGGAATCTGGTGTTTTGTTGCTGGATGAACTTTTGAGCTTTCAGTGTTTCATTTTTTATGAATTTGAAAAAATCTTGAGTGCCGCAATGTTATTTTTTTAAATCGGGAGACTCTTGGGTAGCCATCGTGTATATATTTTTGAGCCCATGGAGATTTTTTTTTGTAAATTATTTAAAGCAATTTTGGGGGACTTTGATGTTCTGTTGTTGGAAAATTCTGACCTGACCTGCTTTTGAGTTAATTTTGGAACTCTGTTTTTTTTTTCAAAAATTTAAAACTGTCTCGAGGTTCTAGGTATTCCTGTTTGGAAAGAAACTAAAAGTGCTTTGGAGACTGTAGTGTCTTTTCTTATAACAATTTAGTTCCATTTTCTAGAGGATACGTCATTTGCTAAAATAATATCGCCGAATTCTGTTTTTTCCGTACTACAATGTACCAAAGGTCTACTTTTTTTTTGAAATGCAAGGACGGATGAACCTAGCAATTTTTACCCAATTAACGAATAAATCTCTAATAAATAGGACCCCGAAGACCTTAAAATTGAAAACCTGAAAATTATGTCGATTATGTCTAAAATATATGATCGTTGGATTGTTTATAGTTCTGTGTAATTAAGGAGTGCTGCAAGAATAATAATTAATCGCGCTTTAATTATAAACACAATTCTAAGAAGTCGACCTTAAACCAATGAACCTTTTAGACAACCAGCATTGTGTTAGACGTGTGAAGGACGAAAATAGTGCGATTATTTTCCAACAGGATGATTGAAACTAGTTAACTATACTAATCTTTAATAAACTGAAGCGGTTACACAAAATGCAAAAATGCCATTAATTTTCCATAAGGAAAGTCCTCGGCTAAGGTTATTATGTTACACTTAACCACACATTAGTCAGACACGAAAGTATTTCGGAAGTAATAAATACCGCAATAAATACCTACAAATTACAATATTAGGTAAACGCGCTTTCTTTAACCTGTGTTTAGACGGAGATGTGAAGAAAACAAACTGCAAGGTCCCGCTATTGCCACACTAATTACCATAAAATTACCTAATTCGATTACGTCAAAATAACAGCAATAAACAAGTGTAAAGTACAAGCAGGAGCTAATAAATCAACACATATAAATATATCTAATACAAATTATGCAACATGTCCAAATCCACTTCCTGTACAACTTCTATTATTTAATTTTGTTGTTTCTCACGCACCTTCCAGTTATCACGATACGCTCCATTTTCTCGTTCGGTGCGTTTTTGCCGATGGAAATCTTTTTGAAGCTAGCATAGAAACGGAAGAACTGGTTTGGACGACGAGAACCAGCGATTTTGAAAGTTTACCATTGATGTACCGCGTACTAACGCCAGTTGGATGTTACGGCTAGCATCCAACACGTCTCAAACCGAATCCGAGTGCCAAGTCTGTTCGACGCGGTGGCGTGTGACGGTGTTCTTCACCTACGAATTGGTCTAAGTTTTTTTTAACACGAGTTGTAGGTAAGTGGTTGGTGTTTTTGCAATTTTTGTTTTTATGTTACTATATTAATTGTGGTGAGTTGACACTAAACACAAAATATATTTAGGTGATCAATGCATATTTGATAAAAGTTAACTTTAATGACAAGTTGAGTGGGTAATATTAAAAAATTGAACTGTCTCAGTGAACTTGATTGTTTGAATTTTATGCCTGAATTGGACGTCTAAAAATGAAACATAACAAACCACTTATTAGAATTCATGTTGTCGCATAATTTATTTACTTTCTTCATAAACATATTTCGAAGTGAAAGTTATAGCCACGAGCAAAGAGCCCAATGTCTAAACTAGTCTAAAGTATTGTAATTGTCAAAACGACTATATTTGTTCAATTTTTTGATGGCGTCATCAACTAAAACCTGTTTATGGTATTACTTTATAAAATATTTAAAAACCACTGTTTTTTTTTTTAATACAGACAAGAATTAATAATTTTTATACACACAACAAGCTGTTATTTGTCAAGGAAGACGGCTTTTGTGAAAAAATTAACACGGGTAAATGTAAACATTGTCTGCGGCTTCAGTGGTTTTTTGTCATTTTATTAGTAGCAATTTTTAAGACATATTAACTTGAATACTTTATTCAAATGTTTGTTTTCATTTTTTATTATTTTGTTATTCCTGCATTTGAATATCAGATGAAATTCTCACAAAAAATTAGTCGTTTCGACGTGTTTTTACGTAACCAAATTTCATATTCACAGACTATTTTAATTTTAATTTATATGCAGTTTGTAATCTGCAAAATTCGAACAGACTTTTAATCATTGCATTCATATTTTTTAGATTTGCTTAAACAGGTGACTCAAAAAATTAATGAATCAGTCAATTTAGTATTGATCAAATTAAGAACGAGCCGCCCCATTTTCTGGAAAATGTGGGAAACTCGAATTTATGCAGTTCTTTTTCAATTTTTCAAATGAAATTTTTCAAATTTTCAATTTGCAATTTTTCGGTTTTTCATCTTTTAGATTCTTTAAATTTTCATTTCTTGATTTCGCAGTTTTTCCATTTTTCAATTTTTCATTTCTTTAATTTAATTTGCAATTTTTTTAGTTTTCGTTTTATATGTGTAATAATAATCATAATTTTTAAAATTATTCACTTTTTCATTTGTTGAAGTTAACTTTTCAATTTTTCGACGTTTCAATGTTATGTTCTTCGACTTTACAACTTTAACGATTCCATAATTTTCCGATTTTAAAATGTTTGGGCTTTTCAATTTTTTGATTCATTCATTTTTTTGATTTTTAATTTTCCCGATTTTAAGCTTTTCAAAGTCTGAATTTTTAGTTTCATTCGCAATGTTTCGATTTTGCTATATTTTCGTTCAGTTTTCTAATTTTTTAATTTTGTCCGATGTTTTAATTTGTCGCCTTTTCAATTTTTCAAAAATTTTCCACAAAATTGTTAAAATTTATTCAATCGACCAAAAATTGGTGCCAAATTGCAAATAATCCTCCGCCAATTACAAATCCGAAATAGCCGTCACGATATCTGTTCCAATAAACATAAAAATTAATTCAAAATTTCCAAAAAAATAGTTAAAATGGTTCAATGGACTGAAAATTGGTGTCAAGTGTAGATAATCTAACGCTAGTTACAAGTCTGAGTCGCCGTTACGATATCTTTTCCAATGAATAAGAAAAGTGAATTCAAAATTTTCAAAAATTTTCCAAAAAAATGGTCAACATCGGGTTCAATCCACCGAAAATTTATGTCAAATTATAGATACTCTTCTGCCAATTACAAATCCGAAATCGCCTTCACGACATCTATCGAAATAAAAGTAAAATATGATTTCAAAATTTTCAAAAATTTCCCAGAAAAATGATTAAAATTGGTTCAATCAACCGAAAATTGGGGTCAGATTTTACATAATCTTCCATTAGTTACAAATGTGAAATCACCGTCTGAATATTTGTTCCAATATGCACGAAAAGTGAATTAAAAATTTTCCAAAAAACTTAAACCAATTGACCGAAAATTGGTGTCAAATTGTGGATAACCTTCCGGCAATTACAAATTCGAAGTCGTCGTCACGATATCTGTTCCAATGAACACGAAAATCGAAGTCAAAATTTCCGAAAAAAATTCAAAAAAATGGCAAAAGTGGGTTCAATCAACCGAAAATTGGTGCCAAACTATATATAATTTTCCACCAGTTGCGAATTTCAAATCGCCATCAGAAAATCTGTTCCAATAAACATGAAAACTGAATTCAAAATTTTCAAAAATTTTCCAAAAAAATGGATAGAATCATTTCAACTCAAAAAAAATTGGTGTCAATTTGTAGATAATCTTCCGCCAGTTACAAATCCGAAATCGCCGTTACGATATCTGTTCCAATTAACACGGAAAGCGAATTCAAAATTTCCAAAAAATTTTCAAAAACGTGGCTAAAGTGGATTCAATTGACTGAAAATTGCTGCCAAACTGTATATAATCTTCCGCCAATTGCGAATTTGAAATCGCCGTCAGGAAATCTGTTCCAATAAACATGAAAAGTGAATTCAAAATTTTCAAACATTTTCCAGAAAAGTGAATTAAAAATTTTCCAAAAAACCTAAACCAATTGACCGAAAATTGGTGTCAAATTGGGGATAACCTTCCGGGAATTATAAATTCGAAGTCGTCGTCACGATATCTGTTCCAATGAACACGAAAATCGAAGTCAAAATTTCCGAAAAAAATTCAAAAAAATGGCAAAAGTGGGGTCAATCAACAGAAAATTGGTGCCAAACTATATATAATTTCCCACCAGTTGCGAATTTCAAATCGCCGTCAGAAAATCTGTTCCAATAAACATGAAAACTGAATTCAAAATTTTCAAAAATTTTCCAAAAAAATGGATAAAATCATTTCAACTCAAAAAAATTGGTGTCAATTTGTAGATAATCTTCCACTAGTTACAAATCCGAAATCGCCGTTACGATATCTGTTCCAATTAACACGGAAAGCGAATTCAGAATTTCAAAAAATTTTCAAAAACGTGGCTAAAGTGGATTCAATTGACTGAAGATTGCTGCCAAACTGTACATAATCTTCCGCCAGTTGCGAATTTGAAATCGCCGTCAGGAAATCTGTTCCAATAAACATGAAAAGTGAATTCAAAATTTTCAAACATTTTCCAAAAAAATGGTTAAAATCATTTCAATTGACTAAAAGTTGGTGTCAATTTGTAGATAATCTTCCACCAGTTACAAATCCGAAATCGCCGTCGGGATATGTTTCAATAAACACGAAAAATGAATTCAAAATTTCCAAAAATTTTACAGAAAAATGATTAAAATTGGTTCAATCAACCGAAAATTGGTGTCAGATTTTGCATAATCTTCCACCAGTTACAAATGTGAAATCACCGTCTGAGTATTTGTTCCAATATACACGAAGTGAATTAAAAATTTTCCAAAATTTCCCAAAAAAATTAAATCAATAGACCGAAAATTGGTGTCAAATTGTGGATAATCTTCCGGGAATTATAAATTCGAAGTCGTCGTCACGATATCTGTTCCAATGAACACGAAAATCGAAGTCAAAATTTCCGAAAAAAATTCAAAAAAATGGCAAAAGTGGGTTCAATCAACCGAAAATTGGTGCCAAACTATATATAATTTTCACCAGTTGCGAATTTAAAATCGCCGTCAGGAAATCTGTTTCAATAAACATGAAAACTGAATTCAAAATTTTCAAACATTTTCCAAAAAAAATGGATAATCATTTCAACTGACAAACAATTGGTGTCAATTTGAAGATAATCTTCCACCAGTTACAAATCCGAAATTGCCGTCACGATATCTGTCCCAATTAACACGGAAAGCGAATTCAAAATTTGTCTAATCATCCCCACCACTAATGTGATGACGTCACTTCAAAATTGTACGTAGTAAATGGGTTTTAAATTGTATCAAATAAGATAGTCTTACACGTGTAGTTTATGACTCCGAATTGAGATTTTACCCGAAACATCCACATTTTTGGAAAAAAAATCAAAATTAGGAAACAACATTTTGACATTTAATTTGGGATCTGTAAAACCGAAAGCTTTGAAATCTTGCAGATGGCTTACAGTTATGATAAGCATGATAAGTTTTTATTCAAAAGAACGATCCACATTTTCTGGAAAATGTGCGAATATGCTCGTCTTTATATCAATAAAATAACGATAAAGTAAGAATTATAATAATAACATGAAGAATATTCTGTTCCATGGAGGCTTATGAATAATTTTAGTCATCGGTTTTGGGGCGATAAACTCATTCAAATCTAGCAAATGTCTACGTGACATTCTTCCGATGTAATTTATTCCCGTTGATAATGTGCTGTAAATACATTTTTTGCACTCATAACATCACAGAGAACAAGATTTATTCAGCAATAAATTCTGGGGACCACTTTGGACAGTCTCCCATATTTCGGATTTGTTAACACATAATAATAATTTATTACTGTGAAAACTTAAACTTCAAATGTTACAATGTGATATTTATGGCACCAACTGCGACAAAATTTTCCATAATTTTAGAAACTCCAATTTTTGTTAAAAAATAAATCTAGTATCAACTTTTTTTAACACGTTTTTAAAACTTTTCCATATGTTATCTAATAACCGAAACTATTTTTAGAACAAAAATGCATAGTAAAAGTGCACTTTCGATTTCAAACTATCTCCAATTTCTATGTCAGTTTGAATTTATGCATTCCCTGCAGTCAGTTTTTTTCCACCTGCATCGACCGGAGCTTTCGTAATAAACCAGCCATTAATTTCAAGAAATCAACACAACATGTCATAAAATTTCTAATCAAAAACACCTCAAGGCGCAACCAAAATTTTCTGCATCAAGTGACACCTAAACAGTGATTGTAAAAAAAAATTGGCCTAGGTCTGGTCTTTCCTATATAATCACGAAGCGCATGTTGGGCCCGTGACGTCATGTTGGCGGCAATTTTAAAACGACA